TTGAATTCAACCCTAAAAGAACTCCGTGGAAGCAGATTATGTGCACATTCTCCTGAAGTAACACTGATGGTTCACACAGCATAATTCAACGTTTGGGGGACACCATAAATAACCACATGGGTTACACAACCCTTCTCCAACCATCATGAAATTATACTTCTATCCACTAATAAAGTTAGATATCCATGAGAGTAATGTTTCCATCCTGAAAAAGGCTAGGGAAATGAAAAATCCCAAAGCAAGTTAATCCAAGGAAGATTAAATGTGATCTCTCTCTCTCTCTCTCCCTCTCTTCATATATGCATATTTCTTAATAATTGTATGCTATCGTGTGGATAGAAGTTTATAAATAATTATCTATTTAGTCTCCCATTGATAGTGCATTGGTAGAATGGTAGGATCTTCCTAAATATAAGTCAATTTTATATTATGGGTGCATATTTAATTTGTTTTTCTACAATTACCCCTTTTAGTTAAACCTCAAATAAGGGCATATTAGAAAATTTAAGGGCATATTGATTAAACCTCAAATAAGGTTGTTGAAACAAAGTCCCATTAAATACGGGGATATTAGAAAATTTAAGATTAACTCAAATAACCTTAATTATTTATTTGGTTGGTATGGAAGTCAACATTGCATCCTATTCACCAAATGGTACAAGTTTGAACATAATAATAAGAAAGAAACTATGGCGTTCAACCTCACTTATTTTCCCTCAAAACCTCCGAGGGTAACTTCTGAAAAGCATTCCTCATTAACTCATAGGCCGACTTAAGTAGTGATGTAATTAATGTGCGACCACTTCCTCTTCTGCAGGGATGAGCAGTATGATCAAGGCAAGAGAAAGAAAATAAGATGTCCTAAACTCGACTTCGATGGCTCAAATCCCTTCCAAGAAATCGCGAATAAAAAGGCAAAGTGGAATAATAAAAAAGCAAAGCTCGATCACTGTCGATCTGCCAACCAACCATTCAGGATACTGTGAATGAGATAAGTATATTCATCCATAGAGAGAGAGAGAGAAAGTGATTTGTAGTGTTCCAGCCCCAATTTTGAGTGTTTGGGAACATGTTTAAGTGTGTAGAGCTCTACAGTTAAGTTATGCCAAGTTACGTGAAATGTTCCCAAGATTAATATAGTCTTGTATTTGAATCTCTTTATCATCCTTGATTTTTGAGTATCTGAGCTTGTGGAGAAGGTGATTGATATCCTACATTAAAGGTGCGAAATCATGGGATATGTTTCCTTGATCTTACTATGTTGTACTATTGTACTCCGTATTTAACTAAGCAATGCTTCAGTTTTTTTGGTCTGTCGTACAATTTGTGTCCATTTTTAGTTTATACTATTTGACGAGATTCCATCCAACGATGATACGATGAATTTTTCAACGTTACTTGTGTTTATTTTTGTTTGACACAATGTTCCCAAATTTGGGTTTTTTGCACATTAGGGTAGTGGTTGTTTTTAAGTGCTCGTTATGTTTTTTTGACTCTAGATTAGTCATACAAATAGAGACACATTGACCTCTTTTAGAGATCTCATGCTACTCTATCTCTTTCTATCATTAGATTTTTTTCGAACTTGTAAATTATGATTCTCCTGTTGTGATATTTGTGTAAGAAAAGATATGTATGAATGGATAAGATATTGGAGTTAAATAATGGCGATGGAATAGGATGAGGCTGAAGGGGAAATGAGAGAATATTAAGGTCATGTTTATTCAATTGATCCTAGTTATACATAAAGTTAATACCGATTTGGTCTGATTTGATTTGATTTGGATCGAATAAGAACCTAATTAGAGCAACTCCAATGGAAGGGGTATATGAAAGGGTAAAGAAGAATATTTGTGATATATACCTCTTTTCATTAAAAATCCTTCTCCAATAGAAGAGCTAAATAAGGAGGCATTATACCTTCTACAAATTTGAAGAGGTATCTTTACCTTCTTCATTTGGGGAGGTATATCAATTTTTCCTACCTTTTAAATTTATTTCATCAATTACTATAGTTATTGTATTTTTGCTTGAATGTATTATTATAAATTTTTAATTTGTATCTTTGTAATTGTAAAACTTAATGAGTCAAGAATTAACAAAAAAATGATACTTTGCTTTTTAACTTTGCACTCTGTATTTTTAAGTTTTTTCCATTCAGGTATTTATAATTTTACATGTGCAATTAGACATAATGTATATTTAATTATTTCAAAACTGACATTCTAATTTTTTTCCCCAATAAATTAGTTGTATTTTTATAAAATCTTTAAATTTAAAATTTTAATCAAGAAGAAACAAAGGCAACAAACTTCAAATTTACCTCCCCATGATTTTTTCAAGAATGTATATTTTCTTTTCTAATAATTAAAATTTGATTTAAGAAGGTAAATCAACTAAATTTTTCCCAATAATGTATGGAGATAGATTTTTTTCCCTCTTTTGCCTTTTGATTTACCTTCCCTCATTGGAGTTGCACACTTTTTGGAAAGGTAAACTTGATCATTTGGAGAGGTAAATTAAATATATACCTCTCCAAGATATCTCTTACTATTGAAGTTGCTCTTAGAAAGATGGGTGGAATAGAATATAGATGAATGTAGGGGAATATTATTTTCTTAGAGAGAAATTTTTTATTGATCCATTGCGTTTTTTATTTTTATACTCTGTAGTATTTTTCTTTTGTACTAATAGAATGTAACATCTAAAAAAGAGGAAAATGCTAGGGGTATACCCCACCCCCTCCATCACCACACAAAAAAGGCAAGAAAATTTCAAAAAAATGTAAAAAATAAAAAGAAAATAAAATGAATGATGTAGAAGCAAGTGATGTACATTTGGGGTACACCTTTGGTGTATGTACCCCTAGCATATCCCAAAAAAAGATATTGAAGAAAAGTAAAGGAATGATTAGAAGTAGTGGAGAAAGATGAAGGAGAAAAAGCTGTGACATCAAAAGTAAATGATCTGGAGGAGAATAGAGAAAAATGACTAGTGGTGTTTTAAAGAGTAGTTACTAACATGTGTTTTTTCCTTCAAAAAGCATGCTTTTTTTATTTCTAAATTAATTTCACATTTTAACTTCACGGGGTTAATAAACATGGTAAAAAAAATATTCTCTGCGAGTATTTTGTGAAAAATAAAAAAAGGGTTCATTAAAATTTATTTTAAGGAAAGAGAAATAAAGTTGTCCACATATTTATCTTCTAAATGAAAAAGTATAGTGTAATAAAACTAGTGCTTAGATATCCTAAGATGAAAAATGTATAGTTGATTTGGAAACAGAAAAATATTTAGCTCTTTCATTTTAAGATTAAATTTTCCTTTTTTATTTGGATCATCACAGAATTTTATTGTGATTTATTTTTGAGAAAAGCTAGAGCCACAAGCACGATAATCACAAAATACACAATCTTATTTCATATTCCATCCATCCCATAAACTATTTTTACGTTTTTAGTCAAATTGTGATACTTTTTTACTACACAATAATAATTTAACAAATTCTAAGATAGGAATTGAATATATAAAATTTTTATAATTTTTATTTATGTAAAATGTAATTTGTGATAAAAAAAATACGTAGTACGGAATATTTGGTATCACACTTTAACAAAAACGTCAAAATAGTTTTTAATTTGGGACATATAATAATGAATTGTTCTCCGTAGTCTTAAAGACCGTATGTGAGAAATGTAAACATTTTCTCTTTTTACGTGAGCTGACAAGTGAACCTTTTGTTTTTATAAAAAGGAAAAATTACCCAAAATAATCCCAACTTTACTCGGTTTTTCAAAAATAATCCCACCTTTCACTGTGATGCATAATAATTCCAACTTTTCTGAAATATTTCAGTTTTGGGTCGCCGTTAAGTTTCTAACGGAGGGTTAACGAAAATGTCCATTTTAGACAACAAAATGAAAGTTAGGATTATTTTTCATGATTTTTCATTTTTTATTTTTTTTAAATTTTTCAAATTAATTTCTACCTCCATCATCATTTCTTTTTCCTTTTTTTAAAGATTAGTCGTAGTTTAAAAAATAAAAATAATAGATATAAAAATAAAAAAATGAGAAATGTAACTAAAATGATACAAAAATAATAAAATAAATAAGGTAATCAATGAAAACTAACTTGAAATTGGTAAAAGTAAAATAAAAATATACGGGTGGGTTTTAATATTTTACGCATTATACAAAGAAGTAACATATTACTTCTTATTTTTTAGAAAAAATTATCTACAATAATTCCAACTTTACCGGACGACTTATTCTTTTAAAAAATAAGTTGTACATTAAGACTCAGTATAGTGTATAAAATGTTAAAACCCACTACTCCGTATATATTTATTTTATTTCTTACCAGTTTCTGTTTAATTTCTATTGATTGCATTATTTATTTGATTAATTTTATATAGTTTTAGTTATTTTTTCATTTTCATTATTTTTTATATCTATTTTTTTCTAAGGTAAGAATAATCCTTAAAAAAGAAAAAGAAATGGAGGTTGAAAGTAATTCAAAAAATTCAAATAAAAATTTCAAAAAAATTAAAAAACAAAAATTCATCAAAAATAATCTCAACTTTCATTTTGTTGCCTAAAACGGGTATTTCTGTTAACCCTCCGTTAGAAACTTAACGGCGACCCAAAACTGACAAATTTCAATAAAGTTAGGATTATTATGTTTCACAGTGAAAGGTGGGATTATTTTTGAAAGACCGGGTAAAGTTGGGTTTATTTTGGGTAATTTATCCATAAATATATTAAGGTCTATAAAATAAAAAAATTGAATACTTCTTCCGTCACTAAAAGATTGTCACAGTTTGATTTTTTGTTAAACTGTGGCACGCTTTGATTGCAAATTATGAAAAAAACATATTTGATTACGATGTACATTTAATAAAATTGAATTTATTTTAATATATAGTTTTTAAATATCATTTTTAAGAACGTAGGAACTACTGTATAAAATTAGGAGTGTGAAATTCTACAGTTTTAGGAATTCACTCCTAATCTCCATTCCATTTCATATCTTCTCCGATCTCCATTTCTGTATCGCGTAGAAGAACAGGATGGTGGTTGTTACTGCGGCTCGAGACTACATCAATCGCATGCTACAGGACATTTCTGGAATGAAGGTCCTAGTTCTCGATTCCAGCACGGTCGGTCACCTTTCTCCCTACTTTGAATTGATTTCATCAAAGAGACAACTGATCTCAGTTAACTGTGTTCTACTCGTTCGGATCTCGGGGCTGTATAAAACAACTAGTTACCCAGAGTTTACCTTCTCCGATAGAAACTTAATTATGCATTTTCAATTTATCAGAGATGGAAAATTTTGATTTGTGCATTTTCAATTGATGAATTTAATCCCCCCCTCCACCCGCATGTATCTGAAATTGTAAGCAACTAGACTTGGAATTTACACTGATAAATTTAAAAAGCTTAATTCATGGAGAGCTGCGATCTGAATTTATGAGGTGCAAAAGTACTCTGAGTTTAGTAAGCTAGTAATCCCTCCGTCCCGATGTTTTTGTCGTTTAAGATGCTTGACTTTGGCTTTTTTTAATGGAATTTGTCGAAATATTGGTGTATAGTTTAAAAATAAAAATCATATGTTTAAAAACAACTTTGAATGGACAAGAGCTCACATGACTATTTTATTGTAACAAATGACAAATGAAGATATGTAAAGAAAGAAAGTTTAGTTTGACCCTAAGAATAGGTGAAACAAAAATTAGCAGGATAGAGGGGGTATAGAGTTTAAGAAGACTGAGCCAAAAACTCTGGGAATGAATGAGGCATGAGCTGTTTATTAATTATTGGAAATGTCGGTGTAAGCAGCATTTTTTATTTCCTTAAATGCTTGTAGGTTAGTATTGTGAGTGTGGTGTATAGTCAGACTGAGCTTCTTAAGAAGGAAGTGTTTCTTGTGGAACTGGTGGAGTCTATCTCTCTGTCCAAAGAACCAATGTCGCATCTCAAAGCAGTCTATTTTCTGAGGCCAACATCAGAGAATATTCAACACATGCGTCGTCAACTTGCAAAACCTAGGTTTGGAGAATACCACCTATGTAAGTATCATGTGAATGAAGTATCTACTTTAAATGTATGCTGAGGAAGTGCTTACTACTTTTTCGATAAGTTTAAGAACTAAATTCGGCACTCAGAAACTATAATATGCATTAAGACTTCACTGTAAAATAAAGTTTAATCAAAGACATTGACTGGTTGTGCAGTTTTCTCAAACATAATGAAAGACACTCAGATTCATATTTTAGCTGATTCAGATGAAAGTGAAGTGGTGCAGCAACTTCAGGTACATTAAGATTCCATGTAAAGAACTAGTTTAGATGATTTATCATTATTTGTAATATCTAACGGTATTCATCACACAAAAACTATGTCTGGAAAGTAGTGCTAAATCTTACAAAAGCTAAAAAGGTTTTAAATAGAACTATAGAAGTATCACATTATTCATACATGACCTATTTGGTTTAAATAGAACTATAGAGATGTAATGTTTTACAGTAGTGCTATTGTATCATTTGTGTGGTCTGCGTACATCTCTACTGTGTTTGGTTTGGTTTGGTTTATATTTTTCTTTGAAAAAAGATATTGTGTCTTAACAGTTATTTATTTTATTTATAGGAATTTTATGCAGACTTTGTTGCAGTTGACCCCCACCATTTCACTCTTAATATCGCGTCAAATCACATGTACATGCTTCCAGCAGTTGTCGATCCCTCAGGTTTGCAGCGTTTTTGTGATAGAGTGGTTGATGGACTTGCTGCTCTTTTTCTTTCTTTAAAACAAAGGCCTGTTATTCGATATTCACGGACATCTGACATTGCTAAAAGGGTAGCGCAAGAAGCAGCGGTGAGCTAGCTAGCTAAATTTTGATTGATATTTTTGTGGATAATTGGCCTTTCATATCTTTTACTCTTTGGAAGAATTGTAGGAATTGATTACATTCACTATTATCTTCTGTCTGCAACTCAGCTTAGCAAAGTCCAAACACCAAATATACGAGCAAGGGCTTAGAGCCTTAGACAGTTGAGTTTGGTTACTGAGTTGCACTGGGAGGATGCTCAATGAGTGTGCCTTAATTTTTGAAAAAGATGAACTATCTTTCTCTCCTCGGTTTGCAGAAACTGATGTACCAGCAGGAAAGTAATCTCTTTGAATTCAGACGGCCAGATGTTTCCCCTTTGTTGCTAGTAGTTGATAGGAGGGATGACCCTGTTACTCCGCTACTTAACCAATGGACCTATCAGGTATTTCATTTCCTGGTGACCTGGCCCCACCGCCCTACACAGTTGTATATATCTTGTAATTTTAATGGACCCACCTTGTTCTGTTTTCATAGGCAATGGTTCATGAATTAATAGGCATCCAAGACAATAAGGTTGATCTTACAAGCATTGGCAATTTTCCTAAGGATCAGCAGGTTCAATGTAATTTACTCTTGTAGTACCTCTTTGTTTCCTAATGTTTTGTGAATCTATATATATCTGGGTAGTCTCAATTTCTGTTCATATTAGGAGGTTGTACTGTCATCAGAGCAAGACACATTTTTCAAAGCTAATATGCACGAAAACTTTGGAGACATAGGAATGAATATTAAACAGATGGTGGACGATTTCCAACAAGTTTCAAAAAGTAATCAGAACATCCAGACAATAGGTATGCATGCAGAAGAACTTCTAAGTTTTATAGTTTTTTTCTTCTTGCATTATAACATCTATGACTTGCACTAAAATGCTATCAACCTTTCAGAGGACATGGTTAAATTTGTAGACAACTATCCAGAGTACAGAAAAATGCATGGCAATGTTTCTAAGCATGTAACCCTAGTTACTGAAATGAGCAAGATAGTTGAAGAAAGAAAATTAATGTTAGTCTCACAAACAGAACAAGAATTGGCTTGCAATGGTGGACAGGTNAGGTATGCATGCAGAAGAACTTCTAAGTTTTATAGTTTTTTTCTTCTTGCATTATAACATCTATGACTTGCACTAAAATGCTATCAACCTTTCAGAGGACATGGTTAAATTTGTAGACAACTATCCAGAGTACAGAAAAATGCATGGCAATGTTTCTAAGCATGTAACCCTAGTTACTGAAATGAGCAAGATAGTTGAAGAAAGAAAATTAATGTTAGTCTCACAAACAGAACAAGAATTGGCTTGCAATGGTGGACAGGTTGCAGCATTTGAGGTATTTAACCCTTTCATCTATATTTTTTCATATGTTTCCTTTCTAAGTACATATTTCTTGCTTTACAGGCTCTCATCACTACATACTTTAGGCCAGTATTTGATAGATACTATCCATCACTTTTATTCATGATCATCATCTTAACCCCAAGTTTCAAGTACGTCAGGATCGTTGGCATGAATGCAATTAATTGTCTGCTTATGACTTTTGATATTTTGTTGCAGTTGCGGTCAACCCCTCTTTAGTAAGCTTTGGTGTTTCATTTTGCATTTCGTTCTTTCTGTTTATGACTTTCCATATTTTGTTTCTTTTCATCTTTACTATCTTCCTTTTTTTCTTGGGGGGGGACCAAGGGATGTGTCTTGCTACCTCTGTCTGTTACAGTAGTTGCCGACTCAGATCAATTTTTCTTGTCCTTGTCAGAGGTGTTCTTTTTAATCCCTAGTCTTGCTACACATGTAGAGTTTTTTCCCCTTTTAAAGCTAATAATTTGATATATATAAGCATCCTTCTTCAAACTTAAACTTTTATTAGCAATCTAAATATCATTAGAACAGCGTCTCTCCATCAAACCATGGGAACCTGCTGGATGCCCTTCTACACCTATGCATTTTGGGGGGATAGCTCGCAACATTAGAATATGATGGATGATTTTATGGAGAAAATATCAATACACATAACACATGGAACCTTTGCTCTGGGATCTGCCACAATATCTGTGAACTAACTTCTGATGCAATGAGTATACCTAATGCTGCTAGTATCTTGGTAGCAACATTTTTTCCATTTTATTTCAGTAGCTGAGAATGAATGTAATCTATAAATCATCTTGTATTTGTTGCTAATGCTTCACATATTAACAATGGACAATAATTTAACTTCAAAGACCTATGAAAATGGCTATTGTGTGTTCTCAGACATGCTTATTTTGTACAGGCTGTAACAAATCTGCTAAATAATGAGAGCGTTTCTGATATCGACCGGTTACGGCTTGTCATGCTGTATGCTTTGCGCTATGAGAAAGAAAGCCCTGTTCAACTGATGCAGTTGTTTAACAAACTGGCTTCTCGATCTCCCAAGTACAAACCTGGGGTAATGAAACTCTTCCATAATTGCATGTAAACTTTACATTGCTTCATAAAACCATTTGCTTCATTTGTATCATTTTTAGAAGAAAGTTAAAATTTGGATATAAAAAAGCATGCAGGACAATGCTACACGAATGATTTAAGCTTTTCCTCTTTAATAAGTTCCTGTTAAGAAACAAGTAACCGACACAAAGATTTCTCAAACACACTACTAGGGGGGAATAAATAAGAAAAATAAAAGAAGATAGATGAGCTTTTGTGGCTATGTAGATCAAATATCTGTGTTTTCCAATCATAGTTAATATTTTACTACTTTCTGTTTTGATGCGTAGACCACTTCTTGTGGGCTGTGTCTGTTACATGATTTTGAGCTAAATTCTATGTTCTGGTTCTGGATTTACAGCTTGTGCAATTATCTGTGTTTTCTAATCATAGTTAGTGGGAACATAATTCATATATAATTTTCACTTCTGGTTCTGGATTTACAGCTTGTGCAATTTCTACTAAAACAAGCTGGAGTTGATAAAAGAACTGGGGATCTTTATGGAAACCGGGATTTTCTGAATATTGCCAGAAACATGGCCCGTGGACTTAAGGTTTGTATGGAAATGTCCATTATTATTTTTCCTCTGTACTTCCTAGAAAGCATGTATCTTTGGTGGTGGTAGTTTGTTTTCTTGATTGTTGTAGGGGGTTGAGAATGTATACACCCAGCATCAGCCCCTTCTATTCCAAACTATGGAGAGCATTACAAGAGGGCGACTGAGAGATGTTGATTACCCTCTTCTAGGGAATCACTATCAGCAAGGCAGGTTGGTCACTAGTGTTTTAATATGACACTTCATACCATTTTCCATAACAATTCATTCTACTTTTGGTCCTTCGAATTTTGTTTAAGCATTCCAATCCTATAATTTGATCCAGTGTACAACATGAAATGGTTTTGAAGCACATTAAGTTTCACACAATTTGTCAAACACAACAATGTCTATATGCCCACATGGAATTGATTTTCCTTTCATGAGAATCCCGATAATTTGATTGTAATAGAATAGGGTTACTACAGAAAATAGAAATATCACACAATACATTCTTATGTGAAGTTTGTAGATGTTTTTTTAGTGGTGGATTGGCATGTTCTAAAGTAGTGAGGGCATAATGAAATCTAGAAGTTCTACATTCCTTTTAAAACAGGGAGGGATGGGGGTTGGCACAAGATTTGTTGTTTAAGAAATTTCTGATGTTTCAGACTAATGGTGTTTCATACAATTTGTTTTTTAAGGCCGCATGACGTGATAATTTTCATTGTTGGAGGGACCACATATGAGGAGTCACGTGCAGTTGCTGTACAAAATTCTATGGCATCTGGCATTCGTTTCATACTTGGTGGCTCTACAATTCTAAATTCTAGGAGGTACGTTTTCATATAAGCTAAAGAGAAGTCTTAACAGTAATTAAAAATTGATAATAAAAATGACATGAATGCAAAGCAGTTGCTCTGTGCAGTCTGCTTTCATTTTTGGGCTGATCTTATTCTGAAGTACATTTTGTTTGTAAATTTTGATGTGTGCACCCACAACCATTAACATCACTGTCTTAAGTCCTTTTTATTGAGTAAATGTCACTCCCTCAGTACCAGAAAAAGTGCTCTGTTTTTTTCATCAAGGTACAGCTGTTTGAGTCTAGAGAGGTGCAACTAGTGGTGATAATAAATTACTCCCTCTGTTTCATTTTACTCGACCCATTTCAGTTTACGAGATTTAAATGAATTTATTCTTAATTCATTTTAATTAAACAGCGGTGTAGAATTAGAAACTTAAATTTATATATTTACAATCTACATACAAAATTCACACGACTGATTATTTTATCAAATTAGTAATGAAAATAAGAAAAAACCAAGGATAAAGTTTGATCTTTTAAATTGTCAATGAGTCAAGTAAAAAGAACCGGATGGACTATGACTATACATTTAATTTATTTGTTGGTTTAACTAAATTTCACACATTTCTCTCTTTTGAAATACATATTTCAATTTAAAAGCATTACATATGATGATAAGTCCTTTTGTTCAAACATGATACATTTTTTAGAACAACAATAGTCTGTAAATATATGACTTTTTTTTTGCTCGTAGGGAGTATTAATCACTTCACTGTGTACTCCATATTTGTAACTCTTTAATGGAGTCCTTGTTTAGCTCATGAGAGAAGTGAAGATAAAGAGGGAATGAGACTTAGGGGAGGAAAGATGGAAAACAGAGGTTTAAAAAGTATGAATGGTTCAATGGAGGAGGAAAAATTATATTTTGGAAAATTATATATAAAAAAAATTTGTATTGATGTATCTTTTGTTGTACTCCATAATTAAAAATATCATCAGTGCTATTTATTTTATTTACAGTGTATGAGATGAACTTCAAAATCCCCTAATCGGTCCACATTTGGTTCATCGTTATTTTCCTGATCCCATGACAACCCAACAAACCTCTTTTAGCTCTAACTTGTGTTGTGAACTCTAACTTTCCCCCCTTCTGTAACATATTTATTTTATTTTATTTTTTGCTTTTGTAGATTTCTAAAGGACCTTGAAGAAGCCCAGAGGATTGCTCGGACAAGCACCAACTTGGTGTAAACGACTCCGCACCAGGGCTTCTCGCCAATTCAAAAAACGACGGTGCGTAAAAACAGGCAAGAATCTGACTCTTCTTGCACAGTTGATGGTTTGGTGTAAAGAATGGCTTCTTCTGGTTAATCAAATTGGCATTTGACAATGATATTTGCACGTATATAATGTTTAAGACAAGAATCTCACAAAAAGGGCCTAAACCTGGTGATCAAAGTTTTATAGACACAGTAAAAAAATGTAGGTTAAGGAAAACTTTTTGCATGGGGGAAAGTACAATTCTTACCACCAGTAGTTTATACTCTCTCCGTTCTCAAAAACACTTCCTCTTTTTTTTTCACTTTCAACAAAATACTTTCACTTTCTATTAAAAAACCACTTTTACCCTTACTTTTTCATATCCTACCTATCACATCATACTTTTTCTCTAATAACCAATCCATCACATTTTATTTTTACACATCACATCAGGGTGCAAAATTGGAAGTCAACTATAATTTTACACCTCTTTATTTTGGCTCCAAGTCAAAGTAGGAACCTTTTTTGAAAACAAAGGGAGTATAAAAATTTTGAGCTGGCGAAGTGATATGCACTTGGTTACATTGTCCATTTAATGATATCTTTACTTTTTACCGAGAGGTTCCTATGACATTGGAACCTCATGTCACGGGATGACCCGGGAGCCAAGTTTGAGAGTAAAAAGTAAAAGATAGGCAATGTGTTAATACTCCTGATGGGTGTATTCCACCCACGACCGGTCAAAGGAGAAGGCCAAATCGTTGACCGGTCAATCTCGAAAGTTTTGGAAGGGAGACTTAAATCGTCAGCAAAACGGTATATAATCGGCCAAAAGATGACCGGTATACTTCACAAAAAAGTATACCGGTCAAACTACGTTGTCATCCTATTTATTCCAGACTTCGATGAATTCATCCCTCGGAGATTACCCGGTGTAGTTTCTGGGGTTGGAAAGTGTCGGCAGAAGAGAATCTACGAGGGCTTGGCGTGTAGCGACCCGTGTCAGTAGAGGACAACTGGAGATGCTGAAGAATCCATCCAAGGCACTACTCGACAAAGGGAATAATCCCCCTCACAAGGCGACAAGGCAGCTCAAGGACGAAACCAGTCACCTCGCACCACATCAGCATCGAGCCCCCACGTGGGCGCACGTGGTCCTGTCCCCCTAGTCTAGTATAAATACTCATGTAAACCTCAGAAAGAGGGATCCGAATTCATTCTCTCTAAACTCTCTTGTTAAAGCACCCGTGCATTCTCCGTTATAATATAAATTGGGCTACAGGTGTTCCACCTAAAGTCCTACCGGTCAATCTACGAGTTTTTGCCTTTCTTACTTTGCCAAATCAAGTAAACTATTCTAGACCCGGTCTAGTATAGTTTGACCGGTCAAGTAATTACACCATCATTTTTGGCGCCGACCGTGGGACCGTTAAGGTTTCTTCTCTTCTAAAACCTACCCACCGAAACACCACTCGAAATGTCTTCCAGCCAACAAATCAACGCTACTTTCGCTCAGGTGCAGGCCACCAATGAGGGCACCAGCATCCCTGTGGATGCTACCATACCGGTCATTTCAGCCCTGGTGTTGCCTTTGGGTCTGAGCTCTGTCCCGACGGCCAGCGTGATCAGCCCCTTTGCGACCCCCGTCCCTTCCGCTGGACCGAGGGTCACATTCCCACCAAGCATGACTCAATTCATGAATGACCCAGCCAACCTACAAGCCATCCAGGGCTTTGGCCAGGTCATGGCCATGTGCCAACAGAATGGGGGATGCCTTTTCTCCCTGGTATGTTTCCGTTCGCTCTTCCAGGCGCGGGAACCATGCCCTTACAAGCTCCAATGGCGGTGGCGTCGTTCCAGACGCCGGTGCCGCAGCCATCTCCTTTCCAGCCCCAGCTGGTCAGCGCCATGGCCCCTGTCAACTTGGCCGGCGCACTAAACGCTGCAGGGCCGTCGCGTCCCCCGCAAGCTACGGATCCGCAGATCACTCCTGATGGTCATTGCGTCTCAATTAAGAGCGATGACGGCGAGTGGGACATCCCAAGGGCCCATAAGAAGAAGAAAGAAAAAAAACATCCGGCCAGCGACCTCCCGAAACTCCGCCTTCGAAAGGCTGGGGGATAGGGAGGAAGGCCAGAGGAAGTCAGCCAAGCAAAGGCTGGGGCAGAGCGTTGCCCATATATTAATTTTATTTCTTACCAGTTTCTGTTTAATTTATATTGATTATATTATTTATTTGATTAATTTTGTATGATTTTAGTTATTTTCTCATTTTCATTATTTTTTATATCTATTTTTTCTAAGCTAAGAATAATCTTTAAAAAATAAAAAGAAATGGAGGTAGAAAATAATTTTAAAATTTTAAATGAAAAATTTAAAAAAATTAAAAAAATGAAAATTCATCAAAAATAATCATAACTTTCATTTTGTTGTCTAAAACGGACATTTCCGTTAACCCTGCTTTAGAAACTTAACAGCAACCCAAAACTGGCAAATTTCAATAAAGTTGGAATTATTGTGCATCACAGTGAAAGGTGGGATTATTTTTGAAAGATCCGGTAAGTTGGGATTATTTTGGGTAATTTTTCCTTCTATTAAAAAACCACTTTTACCCTTACTTTTCCATACTCTATCTATCACATCATACTTTTTCTCTAATAATCTATCCATCACATCTTACTTTTACCCATCACATCAGGGGCAAAATTGGAAGTCAACTATAATTTAACACTTCCTTATTTTTGCTCCAAGTCAAAATAGGAAGCCTTTTTGCAAACGGATGGAGTATGTTTTTATTTTTTAATGTAGTATCACTGTTCAATGTCTACTGGTCATTATTAAAATAAATATCTAACGTCATTAGACATTATTCAAACTAAATTTCACCATTACTGGATATTGTTCCTGCCACTAGACATAATTTTACGGAATAAACAAACTTAGGTACTAGATTGGGAAGAGAAATTTTACCTGAATAAGACTAAAACATAATGGCTCTCCCAATATAGGATCATATGTTTTTATTTCCCAATATAGGACCCTAGCCATTATCAATTAGTCATTATTCAAGTAAATATCCATCATTAGTGGACATTAATCCTCTCACTAGACATTATTAAGTCCTATTTATGAAATAAAAAAGTTTAAATCCTACATTGGGAAATGACTTACTCCCTCCGTCCCAAAAAGTCTTTCCTGTTTACTATTACGTTCTCTCGATAACTCTTATTTGTTTGCGTGTTTTCATTGATCATTTCATAAAATAAAATATTCTTGTCACCTCTTAATTTGTAGAGTTTTTGATGTAGTTTTTAAATATAATTTTTTTATGTGTTATTTCCTTATCAATTTGCAAATAAAACCATTTCAAAATATACATGATTTTGCACGTTATTCAAAGTAGGAAATTCTTTTTGGGACGGAGAGAGTATGTTTTAGTCCTATTAAGTGCAAATTCTACTATTAGGAAATGACATATGTTTTAATATTATTTAGTACAAATTTCACTTTTTTAATGCTCTCTCTGTCTCATTTCTTCGTTTCCGAGTATTTGTTCATTTTAGACTTTTTTCGATCAAAATTGATAAATTTTTACCTTAAAGTAAATGAAAATGATAGTAGATATGAATACAAAAATTTTTATTAGAGTTATTATATGAAATATTTCCACTAAATAGCACTAAGACTTAAGCCATTTCTCTAAATAGCACTTAGATTGTTTTCTTCCCTAAATAGCACTCTATAATGTCCATAATGACCAGTAATGGAAAACATTCACTTGAATAATGACTAATGGATAATGACTAAAAGTGATACATTGAGAAAAAAACATATGTAGTGTTATTTAGAGAAAGTCATTATGTTTTAGTGCTATTTAGGTAAATTTCCCTTATTATATACTAGTAAAATATTTTAAAAATTTTATTTTATATAATTAATATACAATGTATATTTTATTTATTTATAGGTAAAAAACTAAAATAACTGACTAAAAAAGTCAAAACTGGGAAAATATTCAGAGACGGAAGTAAAATGTTTTAAGTGACACCGGAGAACGGTGCCACTCCGGTGCCATTGGGTTTTTTGGGCACCTCCGGTGCTCCGTTCGTAAAATTGACGGTTCCTACCCCCTAGCCCACCCCCTAAACCCCCCACCCTACCCCCACCCCTGCACCCCTGCCGTAACCCCACCACAAAATGTGTGGCTATTATGCAATGCATAATAGCGGCTATTATGCATTGCATAATAGTCACACATTTTGTGGTGGAGTTACGGCGGGGTTGGGGCGGGAGTGCAAGGGTGGGGGTAGGGTGGGGGGTTAAGGGGGTGGGTTAAGGGGGGTAGGAACCGTCAATTTTACGAACGGAGCACCGGAGGTGCCCCAAAAACCCAGTGGCACCGCTAGTGGCACCGTTCTCCGGTGTTACTAGAACCGGGTCATTTTTTTAAGCAGTATCTTTTGAACATAATTGAACAAAGATGGAAGATAACTAAAACACCCTTAATGAAATCGAGTTGAAATAGATAAAATAAGTGGTGTTAGCTGTAATATCCTAAAGAAATATTTGCACCAAATAGCACTAAAACTTAAGTCATTTCTCTAAATAGCACTTAGAATGTTTTCTTTCCTAAATAGCACTTTATAATGACCAATGATGACAAACATTTACTTGAATAATGAATAATGACTAAAAATGTTATATTAGAAAAAAAACATATGTAGTGCTATTTAGGAAAAGTCATTATATTTTAGTGCTATTTACGTAAATTAAGAGTCCATTTAACTCTTGGAAAATGATTTGGTTCCCTTGGCAAGTGCTTAAATATTTAATTTTTTCGTTTTTATAGTTACTTTATGAGTACTTTTCCAGTATCATCTTAGGCCCCGTTTGACATCAGCGTTACAGATTAACGTTAGCATTATGAAAAGGCTATCTGGCGGTACCTTTTAGCGTTAGTGATTTCTGAATTAATCTACATCGTTAATATTTTATCCAAAACGCTAACACTAATTGAAAACGCTCTTCCCAAACAAGGCCTTAGAAAATATTGCTCTTAAAAATATTGTTCTCAAATAAGAGCTTGCTTTTATATTCTACTTCCCCGATTTCTAAAAAATTGTCACAGTTTAACTTTTTGATCAAACTGTGGCACAATTTGACCATGAATTAAATATAATTTAAAATAATTAAACAATATAAAAATTTGATATTTCAAAACCATATTTTAAAATAAATCTAATTTTACTAAATCTAAATTATAACTAAATATACTTTTTCTATTATTCATGGTTAAAGAATGTCATATTTTGACCAAAAAAGTCAATTAGTGGCAATCTTTTAGAGACGAAGGGAATATTTATTTAGTAGATTGAAAACTGTATATATTTTTTTGGTTTATTTTTGGATAATGAATATGGCGTCCATGGAAATTAAAATTTTCATTTGTCCCAAAAATAAGGTCCTAGTTTAACTCAGTAAAGAATATAAATAAAAAAAAGTAAAACTATATGGTTAATAAATGATATAGAAATAGAGAGTAGGGGTAAGCACTGGTCGGTACGGTTTGTGTTTTATACCATCTCGCCTTTTCTCTCTTTATCCCTTACCAATTTGGGTCCCACAAAACTCTTTCCCTTTCTTTTTGCTTCCGTCTCAAAAAATTCTTCTTATCTATTAAAAAATACTTTTACTCCTATTAATTTTTAACCTACCTATCACATCACACTTTTTCTCTATAAATTTATCCATCACATCATAGTTTATTCATCACATCAAAGGACATTTTAGGAAAGTCAACACCAAAATACACTTTCCTTAAATTCTTTAAAAATCAAAATGGGAAGTTTTTTGCGGGACGGAGGGAGTATATAAATATAAAATATGTAAGAGGTAGGCAACCCACTTTTACTTGTAAAATAATGAAAAAAATGATATATTTATTTAGAATGTCTTAGAAAAGCCAAAACGATAAACATGAAATAAAATGCTACTCCGTATGACATATGTCAAAAGTCAAAATTATAAACTTTATAAAAATTATGAACCACAAATTAGGGTGGAACGGGTAAGACCAGATATTTAGGTGTTCCGATCCGAGTCCTTTTTTGAAATATTTGAATCTGAATATTGTTTGTTTCTATCTTGGGAAAAACAAAATTTGTGATATTGTTTTTCGTGTCATACCATTATATAAATAAATAAATAAATCGATATATACATATATACGGGACGGAACGTGTTCGGGACAGAATTTTTAATGCAATACATAATCATAACATTTATTTTAATTTATTCATGAAAAATACAACAAAGGAAAACAATAGTACAAAGTAAAATAAATCATGCTGGGGACGCCCTAATTAAGAAAACGAGGAATACATTTTGTGAACTTAAGGAGACGTATCGCATTTCTCACTTTTGCAGCTAGACACACAGCTTTCCTGCTTCCCTTCATCTGCACTCATTAAAAATCGATTTGTAAGAAAAAATAAATAATAAAATTTTGTACTTTATATCATTTCAATTTATTCAAAGATTTTATGAAAATAGAAATAAAACTTACATATTAAAAATAAAGATTTGTGCAAGAGATGTCAAGAATATGTCAAATAATTAATGAAAAACACAAATAAATAAAATTCATCGTGATTTTAGAATAGTGCGGAGGGCCATTCTTCGAGGGACAAAGAGAGTATATATATAATGTTAGTATATATGGAGTATATGTTTATATACAAGTGAAATGTTACGCAAATCACGAGGCGTACCACTATTATTGTTATCCTTGTCGTTGTTATTGTTGCTGATATTGTCCCCGCCACCGACGCTGCCGCTAGAAATGCATTGGTTAAGACATTCGAGGCTACAGTGAAAGACTCGGCGAGGCGGGACCGGTGGGGTGCAGTGCACCGGACAGAATTTCAGGCATGCCGTGACGCCGATTCCGGCCATTCTGCATTCTCTCATGCAAATCCCAATGCAAGCAACTTTCATGAGGTTCGCAGACGTCGGTTGCGGCCTTGACAAAATGACCAACAAGGCCGCGACCGCCGCCACGAGTAGCCTAACTCCTCTTCTTTCCATATCTCAAGTGTGTGTGTGTTTTTTTCCTAGTGTGAGTTTTACAATTTAATTGTTGAGAATTGAGTGGCGAGAAGTGGTTTTGGGAGCAAGGATTTTTATAGTGCAAAATTTGAAGGTCAAATTAAGAGAATATTGTTGGATGGATTTAGGTGGTAAACACTTGAGGCATTTAATTTAAGTTGAAACAGGTAAGTTGCAGGTTCATATTTTGACTATGTAGTATGAGAGTAGCTAACAAAATGCTATCTTGCAAACACAAATTTAAAAAAAAAAACATTAACCTTTACACATTCTTATACATTACTCTTTTTGTCCATTTTTTTATTTCTCATTTATTATTTATATAGTCAACATATATCTTCTTTCATCATATATTTATATAAGTCATTTGTTTTAATATATAGTACAAAACAAAAACACTTTGACTATCATTTTATCAAATGAATAACGAAAATCGACAAAGAAAGACTAAAATTTAAACAAGAGAATGATAACTCAGGGAGTAGAAACCGTTTTCATTAATAAAACAGCAACATAAGAATCCCACTGAATTCAAGTTATTAATGGAATTTCAGGAATAATTTTACACATTACATTAAATTTTTCAGTAGGGAGAAAACCCACCAAACACAGTTCACCTCTCTACAAGATCTTTCAAACCAAAATAAACCATAAAAAAAGTGATCAAAAGCTGGTAAAAGTGAGAACCAAAGAAGTCATCAAAATCTGGGAAGTGTTCTGGAATTCAACGAGTTGTGCGAACGAACCTTAAATCTTGATGTGGAAGTAATCGGCGTCGAAATGATGCAATCTCACGTACCCATCTTCACCGCCACTTGCAAAACTAAAGGGGAACACAAAGATGATAAAATGCAAAGCTTTGTTAAATAGAAGACATGTTGATGCAAAAGAAAAGCTCAAACACTGGCATGACATGGCTGAAAGGGTTAATGAGGCTGTGGTGGCCAATTATTTTAGCCAATTATGGCTACCAAACAGAGCCTAATTTAAATTTAGAATTTTTTGTATCAAACGTGTCTTTTATCATACTTTACCGTGTGAAATGTGAAAAGTAATTCCAGAAACTGGACTGACCCAAACATGCGGGGACTTGTTTTATAGGTTGGCAAACAATTTGTTACATTTAAACTACTAAACCATAAAGTCAGAACTCAGAAGAGTGGATTTCAGCTCTCTAAAGCTTAAAGTACAACTCCCTCCATATCCCATAACTATCTTCCCTTTTTCTTGTTTGGGTTGTCCTCGATTCATCTTCCCCTTTACCTTTAAAGAGTGCAGATGGAACATGAAAAAACATATGTGCATTTCAATTTAAGTATATTTGATAAAAATACCCAAGGATCTTTCCCTCAACACTTTCCTTGCCTACTCTCATAGATTATTTGTTAAAATACAAGTCAATCCATTCTTGTTTATTTTGAACTTTTTATATTTAAGTTTTACACTAACATCTAAAGTCCTAATCCTGTCCGGTACTCTCAACTTCGACATGTGTTTCCATCCCAAACATGTACTACGGTACTTTTTGTTTGAAGGGTACTAGGATACTTTATTGAGGGAAAGGAAGTCAACTATATGCACTAGCTTCCATTATTTGAGGGTTTTGATTGGAACATACCACACTAAAATGTCATAACTTGTTTGAAATCATATGGTAATAGGCCAAAAAAATCTCACCTTTTCCCATCAGGGTTGAATGCCAACGCATTAATTGGTCCAAAGTGCCCTTTGACACCGCCAATCTCTTCCTGAAGAATCTAAGAAGCACAAGAAAGATGCACTTTGATAACATGGATCATGCTGGATTTCAGGGTAACTAAAACCATCAATTTAAGAGGTATAACCAACTTAAACATACTGCCTCCATCCCACAAAACGACTCTCACTTTCACTTTTCATCCGTTCCAAAATAATCCTCAAATTTTCTCTTTCTGAAAATGGATATGAAGCCTAAAATACTTGTTTCTTCTAAACAAAGTCTAACCACTCGTTTTCACTTCTCAACCCCTTTTCAAAACTATTCTTTATCTCCATTAAGTCAAATTGGAAAAACAAATTTAAGACAGAGGGAGTATTAGCTTACCTTATCATAGAATTTAGCCTCAAACTTCCCAGCCCGATGATCAGTTAATGTCACATTTACTGCATCTTGACCACCTCCAAGCACAATCTGCAAAGCAAACAAAACACATCAAACATAAAGGAATTGTAAGTATTACTTCCACTTGTTAATGTTTATAGTCATAGTGACACAAAGACTCTTCAAGAATGAAACAACCTAGCAAACAATGCAAACTAACTTACTGTATAGCATAGTCAGTGCTGTTCTTAATATTCTATAATGCTAGAAAAATATAAAAAAACCAAACCATTCAGATTTGTTGTCATGTTTAGAGTTGGAATTTTCAATACTTTTTCTGCTTATGAAATACGGAGTATGTATTTTATTTTTAAATTGTTTCTAATGTTAAGTTGTATAAATTTTATTGACACTCCCAATGGCCAATACTAATTAGCTTTCGTTTTCAGCTGTATAGTTAAACAAAATCAAAATATTGAGAGACATAATGGGAAAAGAGTGCTTTAAATGATTATCATCAGTTCTTATCAGCAAGCTGCTAGGTTTCAAGATGTGCATGCCCACTTTGCAATATCAAAATGGCATATTAAACTTCTCATGCTTCCAACTTTCTACTAAGTTTTGAAAAGTAAAGCAAATGCAGCAATGCACCAAGGGTCTGATGGAAACCTCTATTTTAACAAGGTTGTATACATCTTAATGAATTACATGCCAAACCCAACAGAGAAGGGAGTACATTGGGTTTGTTGTAATTCTGGGATAAATTGGTCCAACTCCCAACATAAAACAAGATGCAATTTAAAGGTCATTTTCATACATAGAAAAGCTAGACAGAATTCAGAAACACCTATATAGTACAAGTAAGCACTTGAAACTCAAAAAACATGAGACAAAGTGAAAGCAAACTTCTCAAGGCAACAAAGGACAAGGCACGCCAAAAAAAACTTAGAGAAGATTTTGTAATAGGAAACACACAAATAAAATAATAACAAAGCTTGTGTGTGAGAGAGTGAATTAGTAGTGAACAACAATAGATTTTGTACAACAATTAGTGTATTGAGATTTGAGACACTAATGTGTTTTTACATACATGGTCCAGGAGTGGTGACATGGCAACAGCATTCACTGGGCGTTCACTCACATATGTTTTGAGAAGTGACAAGGTTCTGATGTCCCAAAGCTGGCATTTCAATATAAGTACAGTGTATATTAGTGAGCGAGGAAAAAAGAGAATTCATTAAAAAGCTCTTGGAGGGAAGAAGAAACTCATAAGTTACCTTTGCTGATTTGTCTAATGAACCAGTTATGAAGTGTGACCCATCTACAGATTTTACTAGAGAGGTAATCCCCTTTGTGTGACCAGTTTTCTCATCAGACTCTTTAAGTAGTTTTCCTGTCTGCATATTTTAAGAAGTAAAACCTTATAACTTCACACATACCATACTCCATCACAAAGTGTACTCATAAAACAATATAATGAGCACACCTCAGCATCCCAAATACGAAGAACAGAGTCTTCACCGCCACTAATAATAGTCTTATTCAATGGCCCCCAAACAGCCCTATTGATCCTTCCCACGGGACCCTTAATGGTGAGCACAGATTCACCAGATTCTGGAACATACATTCATAATATATCAGTGGAATTATACTCCCTCCAAATTTTTGTTCTTAGTTTTACTAGGAACAGAGTAATAAAGTGAATAATGACATTGATCTACCAAAGGAGACAGGAACAATATCAACCACATAATCCTATGTATGGTAATAAATACAATAAAATGAAACATGATACGTTCGAAAACAGACACAGCAAATTGGAAAGGAGGGAGTATATAATATGAAAAAAATCACTTCAGAAACTTGTACCCCAAAATAAAATGAAAATAACTATGCAAACTTACGTTCATCAGGATCTGTAGCTATTCTCTTTACGTGTATAGCAGAAGGAAGCTCAATGAAATGGTCAGTGGTAACTACTGCAAGCTTATCACCAACTGAGAACTCAACAGACCTACATGTTGAGTCCAATTGGAATGTGAACAGGACACTGCCGGTCTTAACATTCCATAGCTTTACAGTCTGGTCGGCACTTCCAGTAATAAGTCTACTTGAATCCCCTGGATACAAAAAAAAAAAGATGAACCATAATAAATCATCAAACAAATCATTATTTGATCTTACAAAGTCAATACCAGCCAAATCCACACTTTGGGTATTTGTGCTCATGAAACTCAAAGGAAAATCAAGTATCTGCACCCAAAGTTATCACAGCGCCACGGCAAAGCGCGGCGCCAGAACGCCTCATCGCCAAGGTGACAATTAGGCGACAAGTAATTAATGAGGAGACAAATTTTAAGGGCCAAACAGTGGAATCTTTTTTTGGATGAGCGAAAAAACGTGGAACCTTTTTATGGGATGGAAGGAGTACGCAGCAAACATAGATAAATCTAAAACATAAGTTAAAAATCAAATACTCTATTCAAAATAGTACTTTCATTAAAAAATTAAAAACATTCAAACTAGTACTCCCAAAAATCAAAATAAAGTTTCACTGATCAAATTTCAAGCATGGAAAAACTCAGCCTCTAAGTTCAAAAAATATTACCACGTAGTATTCCCTCCATTCTTTATTAATTGTCTGTTATGACTTCCATGATAAAAATGTAGACATATTTTATGTCTACATTCATAGTTCTGCTATAAAGCCATGCAAACTAAAACGATAAAGAGAACACGCAGAGAGTGTGCTAACGAAAGCATCAAACTTGAACTATTGTGTTATATCCCCTAGTACTACACCTGATCCTCAAATCCTTAAACAAATCAGTGGAATCATGTCTAAGTGTTACGATCCTTTCTGGAATGAACTCTCCAACCCCAAACCATATTACTTAACCCTGACAACCTTGAGCCTATCTCCATCCTAAAAAGAGCCGTATACCCTGCCCAGACTACCCCACTCCCTACTTGAATCACTCCATCAAAATAACACGTTTTGTGCCAAAAGAAAAAACCATAAGTCAATTTCCTTTTCATTTCCCTAAGCTAGGGCCGAAACACACCAAGCCAAACAACCATATTTCATCACCCAACATCCCACAAACATTGTCCCCNTACACATGTAGAGTTTTTTCCCTTTCAAAGCTAATAATTTGATATATTAGCATCTTTCTTCAAACTTAAACGTTTATTAGCAATGTAAATATCATTAGAACAGCGTCTCTCCATCAAACCATGAGAACCTGCTGGATGCCCTTCTACACCTATGCATTTTTGTGGGATAGCTCGCAACATTAGAATATGATCGATGATTTTATGGAGAAAATATCAATGCACTATCACATGGAACCTTTGCTCTGGGATCTGCCACAATATCTGTGAACTAACTTATGATGCAATGAGTATACCTAATGCTGCTAGTATCTTGGTAGCAACATTTTTTTTATTTTATTTCAGTAGCTGAGAATCAATGTAATCTGTTAATCATCTTGTATTTGTTGGTAATGCTTCACATATTAACAATGGACAATAATTTAACTTCAAAGACCTATAAAAATGGCTATTGTGTGTTCTCACACATGCTTATTTTGTACAGGCTGTAACAAATCTGCTAAATAATGAGGGCATTTCTGATATCGACCGGTTACGGCTTGTCATGCTGTATGCTTTGCGCTATGAGAAAGAAAGCCCTGTTCAACTGATGCAGTTGTTTAACAAACTGGCTTCTCGATCTCCCAAGTACAAACCTGGGGTAATGAAACTCTTCCATAATTGCATGTAAACTTTACATTGATTCATAAAACCATTTGCTTCATTTGTATCATTTTTAGAAGAAAGTTAAAATTTGGATATAACAAAGCATGCAGGACAATGCTACACGAATGATTTAACCTTTTCCTCTTTAATAAGTTCTTGTTAAGAAACAAGTAACCGACACAAAGATTTCTCAAACACACACTACTAGGGGGGAATAAATAAGAAAAATAGAAGAAGATAGATGAGCTTTTGTAGCTATGTAGATCCAATATCTGTGTTTTCTAATCATAGTAAGAATTTTACTACATTCTGTTTTGATGCGTAGACCACTTCTTGTGGGCTGTGTCTGTTACATGATTTTGAGCTAAATTCTATGTTCTGGTTCTGGATTTACAGCTTGTGCAATTATCTGTGTTTTCTAATCATAGTTAGTGTGAACATAATTCATATATAATCTTCACTTCTGGTTCTGGATTTACAGCTTGTGCAATTTCTACTAAAACAAGCTGGAGTTGATAAAAGAACTGGGGATCTTTATGGAAACCGGGATTTTCTGAATATTGCCAGAAACATGGCCCGTGGACTTAAGGTTTGTATGGAAATGTCCATTATTATTTTTCCTCTGTACTTCCTAGAAAGCATGTATCTTTGGTGGTGATAGTTTGTTTTCTTGATTGTTTTAGGGGGTTGAGAATGTATACACCCAGCATCAGCCCCTTCTATTCCAAACTATGGAGAGCATTACAAGAGGGCGACTAAGAGATGTTGATTACCCTCTTCTAGGGAATCACTATCAGCAAGGCAGGTTGGTCACTAGTGTTTTAATATGACACTTCATGCCATTTTCCATAACAATTCATTCTACTGTTGGTCCTTCGAATTTCTTTTAAACATTCCAATACTATAAATTGATCCAGTGTACAACATGAAATGGATATGGAACACATTAAGTTTCACACATTTTGTCAAACACAACAATGTCTGTATACCCACATGGTATTGATTTTCCTTTCATGAGAATCCCGATAATTTGATTGTAATAGAATAGGGTTACTACAGAATCATGATTTCTAGTAATTCAAAATTAGAATCTTTGATTCTTTTTCAAAATGATTCCCTGCACAAAATAGAAATATCACACAATACATTCTTATGTGAAGTATGTTGATGTTTTTTAGTGGTAAATTGGCATGTCCTAAAGTAGTGAGGGCATAATGAAATCTAGAACTTCTACATTCCTTTAAAAACAGGGAGGGATGGGGGTTGGCACAAGATTTGTTGTTTAAGAAATTTCTGATGCTTCAGACTAATGGTGTTATCATACAATTTGTTTTAAGGCCGCATGACGTGATAATTTTCATTGTTGGAGGGACCACATATGAGGAGTCACGTGCAGTTGCTGTACAAAATTCTATGGCATCTGGCATTCGTTTCATACTTGGTGGCTCTACAATTCTAAATTCTAGGAGGTACGTTTTCATATAAGCTAAACAGAAGTCTTAACAGCAATTAAAAATTGATAATGAAAATGACATGAATGCAAAGCAGTTGCTCTGTGCAGTTTGCTTTCATTTTTGGGCTGATCTTATTCTGAAGTACATTTTGTTTGTAAATTTTGATGTGTGCACCCACAACCATTAACATCACTATTTTAAGTCCTTTTTACTGAGTATGTTACTCCCTCAGTACCAGAAAAAGTGCTCTGTTTTTTTCCATCAAAGTACAGCTGTTTGAGTCTAATGAGGTGCAACTAGTGGTGATAATAAATTACTCCCTCTGTTTCATTTTACTCGACCCATTTCAGTTTACGAGGTTTAAGTGAAGTTATTCTTAATTCATTTTAATTACTAAGGGGTGTAAAATTAGATAAAAAAAATTTATATATTTAAAATCTGCATAGAGAATTCACATGACTAATTATTTTATCAAATTAGTAATGAAAGTAAGCAACAAACGAGGATAAAATTTGATCATGTAAATAGTCAATGAGTCAAAGTAAAAAGAACCGGATGGAGTATGACTACACAATTATACATTTAATTTATTTGTTGGTTTAACTAAATTTCACACATCTCTCTCTTGAAATACATATTTCAATTTAAAAGCATTACATATAATTATAAGTCCTTTTGTTCAAACATGATACATTTTTTAGAACAACAATAGTCTATAAATATATGACTTTTTTTTTTTGCTCGGAGGGTGTATTAATCACTTTACTGTGTACTCCATATTCCTAACTCTTTAACGGAGTCCTAGTTTGGTTCAAAAGAGAAGTGAAGATAAAGAGGGAAGGGGACTTGGGGGAGGAAAGATGGAAAACAGAGGTTAAAAAAGTATGAATGGCTCAATGGAGGAGGAAAAATTAGTATTTTGGAAAATTATATATATAAAAAAATTGTATTGATATATCTTTTGTTGTACTCCATAATTAAAAATATCATCTGTGAACACTAACTTTCCCCTTTCTGTAACATATATATTTTATTTTATTTTTTGCTTTTGTAGGTTTCTAAAGGACCTTGAAGAAGCCCAAAGGATTGCTCGGACAAGCACCAACTTGGTGTAAACGACTCCACACCAGGGCTTCTCGCCATTTCAAAAAACGACGGTGTGTAAAAACAGGCAAGAATCTGACTCTTCTTGCACAGTTGAAGGTTTGGTGTAAAGAATGGCTTCTTCTGGTTAATCAAATTAGCATTTGACAATGATATTTGCACGTATATAATGTTGAAGACAAGATTCTCACAAAAAGGGCCTAAACCTGGTGATCAAAGTTTTATAGACACAGTAAAAAAATGTAGGTTCAGGAAAACTGTTTGCAAGCACCACTAGTTAATAGAAAAATTTTGAGCTGGCCAAGTGATATGCACTTGGTTACATTGCCCTCTTTACTGTTTGCAGATGGATTCTCATGGCATTGGAACCTCATGTCATGGGATCACCCGGGAGCCAAGTTTGAGAGTGAAAAAGTAAAGGCTAGGTAATGTGTTCTTATATAATATTCCTTCTATTTCATTTTAAATTGTTTGTTTTCTTTTTTTCTCCGTCTCAAAATAAGTTGCATGTTTCTTGTTATCGTAAACTTTTAAGAATAAAATGCCCAAACTACCCCTAAAATAAGTCACTCTTCTCCACTTTATTAGTTTATCTTCTCATTCATTGTCACTCGGCCCCTCCTGGCCTCTTAAAAAGTAATGACAATTTTAGAAAGTTAATTTTATTTTTTCTCTTCCTTAAATATGCTTCAAAGTCAAAACGAGTAATTTAAAGCGGGACGGAGGGAGTACTCTCATTGGAGCATATAGTCATTGCCAAACGTACGACTGTATTATGATGCAAATTAGGAAAAAAAGAGCTCCATCTCTGAATGCCTTTCAGATCTGGCCAAACCTTCTGTGAGAGAAGGTAAATTAGACTTCAATCGCAGATTAGTGATATAGAGTAAAGTATACACCTAATGCTTGCGGAGACTCTATGCTTAGCATAATTTACTACTGCAGAGTTTCCAGAAATCGAACTCGGATCTACTACTTTGGCACTCCCTACCTTTGCTAACTGCATAACACCCACCAGCATGATGATGCTAATTAGAAACAACAAAAATTGGGGCTCGACGTCGAAAATTGCGATTGACTAACTGTTGTTTCATTAGTAGTTAAAGGCGCACAAATAATTTAAAGATTTATTTTGCTTTATTCCATCACACCCAAAGCTAAAACAATAGTAGATTTTGTGTCCCATCAGAGATGATGGATAAATGATGAAAATTAAAAAAAATATTTCTAAATAATTTTTTAAGTCATTATTAGAGGAAACGGAAAGAAATTAGAACAAATTGGAAGAAAGTTTTTTTGAATTAGAAAAACTAAGAGTAGAAAAAAATTACTTGCTCCGTCCCTGAATGTTTGTCCACTTTTGATTTTTGGAACTGTTCATCTAAGCACTTTGACTCATCAAATTTTCTCAATGTGTAAGCCTAAAAATAGTCATGTGTGATCTTGTTTGATTCGTCTTAACATATAGATTATTAATATATAATTTTTATAATTTTTTAATATACAAATTACAAGATAATATGGATTAAAGAAGTGCATTGGATAGTGTGCAAAAATGAAAATGGACAAACACTCAGGGACGGAGGGAGTAGTACTTTGTGATAGTGTGTTATCAATGTGTCGGTGTTACGCAATAGTGTACAACTTGGTGAGTACCAAACGGAAAAATGTTAAGGGTATATCAAGAGGTGTATCCCAAATATTCCCCAACCTCTTTATAACTTCAAAAAATAGCATGTAAATTTCAAAAAGATAATTAAATAAAAATGAATGATAGGGAGTATATTTTTGGAATACACCAAAAGTGTATCCCTAGTCCCTACCATCTAACTATCAAATGATATGTAAGTAGTAGAGCTGGCAAATCGGTCGGTCAGGTCGGATTTGGGTTCGGTCACTTCAAGTGCGAGTTATTTCGGGTTCGGGTTAATTCGGGTTCGGGTTGAGAACTGTATGTTCATGACCCAGTGTCATCGGGTTCGGGTCGACCCAACGGGTATGACTTTCGTTTTTTTAATTTTTAAATTCACATTAACACTTACATTTTCTATAAAATTATATTATATTAAACTCTAGAGTAGTTTTTAGATATATAAATCAATATAAGAAATTTAAAAATGTTTAAGTTTTGGAAAAAAGTAAGATAATTATGCAATATCATTAAAATTTTGTCTGAAAATATAAATTTATACACTAAAAACTAGTAAAAAAGTGTATAATTTTGAAAAATTCTTACTTTAGCGGGTCGGTCAGGTCGGGTTCGGGTTCGGTCGGGTTTGACCCATTTTAACGGGTCATTTCGGGTTCGATAAACTTCGGGTTCGGTTATCAAAACTTTTGTTCAAAACCCAGTGTTTTCAGGTCGGGTTTCGGATCAAAAACAGGTCGGGTCACTTTTTGCCAGGTCTAGTAAGTAGCACGTTTCTCATCTCTATCCCTCTCAAAATAAGAGAGATATGTGAGAAGGTTCCCTCGTCACGTCCGCCATTTAATGTTCCAACCAATGACAATGAACTAATTACAAAATTTAGTGTTCCCACCAATGAAAATGTTCCCTAATAAATATACCTACTCTCCTTTGGAATTTATTGTCTTACTCTTTTTTTTAAATTGTTTCAAAATTGTTGTCTTATTATGTACGGAGTACTTTTTTACATCTACTAAAGTAAAAATTAAAGAATGTATGGAACACAACCAGCTGATTGTTAAAAATATTTAGTAACTTATTTTCTTTTATATTTTTACACACACAAAAAATATTTTTTTTCATTTTTGTACATGTAAAAACTAAATCTTTAATATATAGTGTACTAAATTTCACTTTTATATACGTAGTATTTCATAAAAATTTAATAGTACATAAATTTTTAGTGATTCTTTTCTTTTGATTTTCTCATTAGATTTATTCTCATTTTGAATTTTGAATTTTTTTTCTTTTTATTTTCTTTAATTTTTATTTTTTACATATATTGTTGAATACTATTTTTCAAGAAAAATAATTTAAAAAATTAATTTTCTTAACAACAAAGTCCAAAAGCTACTCCTTTTGGCATTTCAGATTTTTGCTTTTCGGATCAAACAGTAAATGAAAAAAGTCATTAGCCAAATAATGGTTTTGGTTGTTCGATTAGTCAAAAATGCCAAAATCAGCTAAAGATGTCAAAAGTCATCCAAAAAGTCGTTTTCTAATCAGAACCCATAACTTACTTTAATTATCAGATTTTAAAAGTATAAGACTTCAATCGCAGTAGGATATTAATACAATTTGACTTATTTGAGTAAAATAAGACAAATTTTAATCATCAATTACATTAAATTTTTATTCTATATTAATACAATACAATAATTTTTTGATAACTTTCCCACTAAATAAATCTAATAAAATTATTTTTATACTTACAACATCAACATTTCCCCAGTGCCCTATCATTGCGATATAAGGGAGCTGGATGTACGCAACGTAATACTTACGTTTAAAATCTAAAACTGTTGTTTCTAAATGACTAATTGTGAGCATCGAAAGTTACATTGACTAATTACTTTCATTATTATAATTCATACTACATTTTTATTTTTTAATGATAAAAATTTATTCGTTTTGATTTTAAAATATCAAACTAGACGAACATTCTTTTGATAAAGATATTGTTTGGAAATAATATCTTATATCAGCATTATCGTTTTGAATCAAGTTTTAATAATATACTCCGTAAATTAATTTTGAAAATACTAATGATAAAAGCTAACGTTAAATAGTCTTTTTAAAACACTGATATATTCTTTTTTTTTGTGTACAACGAATAGTCCTTTTGATAGAGAATTAGAGAGTATCTATAAATATTTAAAATGAAAATGAGTTTTGATAGTATGGCAGTCTGGGCAATAAAAAATTGTGTGTTTTGTTGGCTTGTTGGATAAAAAAAAAAGAAAAAAGAAAAGAAGAAAAGAAAAAAAACTCAATGGCTGATAATAAACCCAAACTCCCATTCCGCACGAAGCTCCTCGCCTCCGCCTATGCCCTGATATCTTCCTTCTGTTTCCGCTCCGACGGCACCGTCAACCGCCGTCTCCAAAACCTAATCCACCGCAAAGTGCCCGCCCCGGCCACCACCCTCGTCGGCCAAGCCTCCGTCTCCTTCACCGACGTCCCAGTCGAACCTTCTAGAAACATCTGGTTTCGCCTCTTCGTCCCCTCCGTTGACCAATTCAACTCCCCTCTCCCCCTCGTCGTCTACTTTCACGGCGGCGGATTCGACTCCCTGGGCCCCGATCTGAAGGAATACCACGATTTCTGCTGCCGAATCGCTGCGTCCGTCCCCGCCGCCGTCGCCTCCGTGAAATACCGCCTCGCGCCGGAGCACCGGTACCCTGCGGCGTACGACGACTGCTTCGACGCCTTGAAGTTCATCGACAGCGAAAATTGCTCCGTCCTCCCGTCGAATGTGGATCTCGAGGACTGCTTTCTCGCCGGAGACAGCGCCGGGGGGAACATCGCGCACCACGTGGCGGCGAGATCGTGCGGATCGAGCTTCCGGAGGCTGAGAATTTCCGGCTTACTGTCGATCCAGCCGTTCTTCGGCGGCGAAGAGCGGACGGAATCGGAGATCCGCCTGGGCAGAGGGGTGTTGCTGACTCTGGACCGCGCGGACAAGGCGTGGCGGAATTTCCTGCCGGAGGGCGCGAGCAGAGACCACGAGGCGGCGCACGTGTTCGGGGGGAAGTTGCCGGAGAAGTTTCCGAGGACGCTTCTGATCATCGGAGGGTTCGATCTGCTGCAAGATTGGCAGCGGAGGTACGGCGAATGGGTGAGAAGGTGTGGGGTGGAAGTGAGGGCGGTGGAGTATCCCAACGCGATCCATGGATTCTATGCCTTCGGCGAGTTGCCGGAATCCGCCATGCTTGTTGAAGAAATCAATAACTTCATGGGAACTAGTAATTAAATTATTAGACTCATGCTAGAAATCAATGACACTACGGATGACAATTGTCTATAAATTCATGTATGCGTACAATAATCGAAGACAATAATTGGTTGTGAATATGTATCCTTCATTCGTCCGTCGTAAATCTTTCTTTTACTTTTGAAGGCTTTAGGTCCGGTTCCGTTCAACTTATTTTTTCTTATTCTTATTAAAATTAGATTAGATCAGATCAGATCGAATCAGATCCAATCAGATCAGATCAGATCCAATCAGATCAGATCAAATCCAATCAGATCAGATCAGATCCTATCAGATCAGATCAGATCCAATCAGATCAGATCGATCAGGACTTATTAAAATAAGATCTCATCAAGAATTATTATTATTATTATTATTATTATTATTATTATTATTATCATCATCATCATCATCCTCGTCGTCATCATCATCATTATTATTATTATTATTATTATTATTGTTGTTGTTGTTCTTAGAAATGAAAAAGAATACACTTTAGAAATAGGTTAAATAAAAAGCTGAGAAAGTAATCCTTAATTATTAGACGTCGGAAAAATTAGTTTTAAAATACATTGACAATGTAAATCTAATTCTACTTTTAAAATATATTTTTATTGCTATTTGTAATTTGAGTTTCTAAACTTTTGATCTTTTATAAGGATGAGATATTTTAATAAAAATACTATCTCTTCTATATATTGATTATCTAAATTTAATTACTTTTAAATGTATATCTAAATTAAATATTTATTCTAATGTATAATTCTAATTTTACAAAAAAATAATCATAAAATAAAAAATAATATTACATTATAATATGAATGATTATTCTAATAATATATGAATTAACTTTTTTTATTTTATTAAAAAATAATCATTAAATAAAAAATATTGATTATATTATAATATGAATTATCATTACAATTTTCAAACGTTATTATAAAGTCAAATTAAATTATTAATTTGAAATTTTAAATTAAATCATAATTAATCAGATCAGACCAGATCAGATCAGATCAGATCCAATCAGATCAGATCAAATCAGATCAGATCAGATCCAATCAGATTAGACCAGATCAGATCAGAACTTATTAGAATCAGATCAGATCAGAAAAAATAAGTCGAACGGAACGGAGCCTTAGTAAGAACACTGGAAATACGTATGAAGCCCCGGGGCTTCAAATTTTCTCTCTCTGCCACGTCAGTTTTAACTTACATTAAAAATTCACTGAAAATGGTTTTGAAGCCCCGGGGCTTCAAACTGGGGCTTCAAACCTTCATTTTTTACATTTTTAAATATACATCTTCTAAATTTAAATTAATAAATTTAAATTAATTTATTATTTAAATTAATCGCAATGAGACTAGTGCATTAAAAAAATTACATTCATTAAAAAAAATCTTACATTCATAAAAAAAAACATTCAGAAAAAAAATTACATTCATTAAAAAAATATTACATAAAAAAAACAACAGTACAAAGAAATCACTAATTATTCGAACGACTAAAGATATGTTCCATCAAATCCGCCGTTAGTGCATTGTGAATCTCTCGGCTTCGAATTTCTTGGCGGTTGCGTCGTTTCTTTTCTTCGGTGATTTCTTCGTACATAGGCACCTCCTCGTCCGAGTTGTATTAACAAAATCGCAGTCCCGTTATCCTCTATGATCATATTATGAAGAATAATACATGCGTACATGATATTCCTCATTTTTTTGAGAATAACATTTTGACGGACGATCTAGAATGTGTCATTTACTCTTCAAGACCCCAAAGGCTCGTTCAATATCGTTTCTCGTCGCCTCTTGAGCTTTTTTGTAGGTCTGGCATTTAAGACCCATTGGTTCGGAGAGGGATTTGACAATCGTGGAATAATCTGGATATATTCCATCGGCCAAATAATATTCACGCTTGTAAAGCGTCCCTCTAAGCTCAAAAGAGGAGTCCAGTGCGGTCTCATTAACCCAATCGTCAAAAACAGGCGATTGATCGAGAACGTTGATGTCGTTGTTCGAGCCCGCGATACCAAAAAAAGCATGCCAAATCCACAAGTCATTCGTTTGCGTCGGGTCCGTCGTCGGGAGGATTCAGCTTCTTCTTGGCCATCTTCCCACCATTGAATACAATTCGTCGCGAAACAACGAAAAAAGAAAGATCTTCTTTCATCGTCGGAAGATGAACCCATTTTTAAAATATATTTTATAAATATTTATAATAAATAATAAATATTTTAGAAAGAATATAAAGAGAGATGTGTGAGAGAGATGTGTGAGAGAGATGTATGAGAAAGGGGATTTTATAGGTTTTTTTTTAAATTTAGAATTTTTTTTTTAATTTGGGGGGGGGGGGGGGGGGGGNACGCCGCGTCAAACGAATGACGCAGGTATACTCACGCCCCGTTAACGCCGGAGGGGGGCGGGGTTTCACGCCCCCGGGGCGTTAAACGCCCCTTAACGCCGGCGGGCGTGAGTATTATACCTAGTGGCCTAATATCATACTCCCTCCGTCCCTAAATAGATTACAATTTTTTTCTCTCTTCTCTCGGTAATTTTTGTTTGTTTACGCGATTTCATTAAGTATTGGATATTGTTCCTGCCACTAGACATAATTTTACGGAATAAAAAACTTAGGTACTAGATTGGGAAGAGAAATTTACTTGAATATGACTAAAACATAATGACTCTCTCAATATAGGATAATATGTTTTTATTTCCCAATATAGGACCATAGTCATTATCAATTAGTCATTATTCAAGTAAATGTATATCATTACTGGACATTAATCCTCTCACTAGACATTATTAAGTCCTATTTAAGAAATAAAAAAGTTTAAATCCTACATTGGAAAATGACTTATGTTTTAGTCATATTAAGTGCAAATTTTATTATTGGGAAATGATATGTGTTTTAATATTATTTAGTGCAAATTTCACTTTTTTAATGCTCCCTCCGTCCCATTTCTTCGTTTCCGAGTATTTGTTCATTTTAGACTTTTTTCGATCAAAATTGATAAATTTTTACCTTAAAATAAATGAAAATGATAGTAGATATGAATACAAAATTTTTTTATTAGAGTTATTATATACTAGTAAAATATTTTAAAAATTTTATTTTATATCATTAATATACAATGTATATTTTATTTATTTATAGGTAAAAAATTAAAATAACTGACTAAAAAAATCAAAACTGGAAAAATATTCAGGGACGAAAGTAATATATTTTAAAGATTTTTTTTAAGCAGTATCTTTTGAACATAATTGAACAAAGATGGAAGATAACTAAAACACCCTTAATGAAATTGAGTTGAAATAGATAAAATAAGTGGTGGTAGCTGTAATATTTTAATTGTTTAAAAGATAATGGAAAGATATTTTTTCTAGATAAAAAATGGAAAAACCTACGACGGAGTAGGGTTGTAAATGAATCGAATATTTTTTGTTCGATTCGTGATTCGTATTCGTTTAAAGTGATTCGTATTCGATTTTTTCAAATCCGAATACAAATACGAATCTGAATAAATATTCGAATCCTTATTGAATACGAATATGAATCAAGAGTATTCGATTCGTGAGTTTGACAAATATATTCGGAATATAAATCTAATTATACAAATTATATATTTTTATATATATATATATATATATATATATATATATCAAATGGTTATAAAATATTTTAAAATCTAAATGAACTGAATATTTTTAAACGAACCGAATATATTTAAACGAAACGAATATTTAAACGAACCGAATACAAATCTTAAAAAATATTCGAACCGAATTCGAATTCGAATTCGAATATCACTCCATCTTAACGAATATGAATATTTTTCATGAATATTCGATTCGATTCGGTTCGTTTACAACCCTACGACGGAGTGAAGAAGACTAGTTCATACGGGAGTAGATAATTATCGTTTGGGTGTACAAATTTACTATCATTTATTTTAAGAATGCTTTTTTGGTGCACCTTAGGTACATATTATTTTTGAGGATCTTCTCACATAATTTTTTTTTATTTTTTTATTTAACAAAAAATAAATACTTATTTAAATAATTAAAAAAAATACTTAATTTGTTTATATGTAAGTCATGATGAACCGTAGGATTTGCCTTATTTTAAATTAAGAGTCCATTTAACTCTTGGAAAATGATTTGGTTCCCTTGGCAAGTGCTTAAATATTAAATATGTTCGTTTTTATAGTTACTTTATGAGTACTTTTCCAGTATCATCTTAGGCCCCGTTTGGCATCAGCGTTACAGATTAACATTAGCGTTTTGAAAAGGCTATCTTACAGTACCTTTTAGCGTTAGCGATTTCTGAATTAATCTACATCGTTAATATTTTATCCAAAACGCTAACAGTAATTGAAAACGCTCTTTCCAAACAAGGGCTTAGAAAATATTGCTCTTAAAAATATTGTTCTCAAATAAGAGCTTGTTTTTATATTCTACTTCCCCGATTTCTAAAAAATTGTCATAGTTTAACTTTTTGATCAAACTGTGGCACACTTTGGCCATGAATTAAATATAATTTAAAATAATTAAACAGTATAAAAATTTGATATTTCAAAACCATATTTTAAAATAAATCTAATTTTACTAAATCTAAATTATAACTAAATATACTTTTTCTACTCCCTCCGTCCCATTTTAAATCGCATGTTTTGACTTTTGGGCATATTTAAGAAAAATAAAAAATAGAGTTGATTTTTCGAAATTGACATTACTTTTTAGGGGGGTGATGATGAATGAGAAGATAAGGTGAAGAAGTGTGACTTATTTTAGGGGTAGTTTAGGTATTTTATTTTTAAAAGTTTACGAAAACAACTAACAGGCAACTTATTTTGGGACGGAGAAAAAAGGCAAACAGGCAATTTAAAATGGGACGGAGGGAGTATTATTCATGGTTAAAGAATGTCATATTTTGACCAAAAAGTCAAATAGTGACAATCTTTTAGAGACGAAGGGAATATTTGTTTAGTAGATTGAAAACTGTTTATATTTTTTTGGTTTATTTTTGGATGATGAATATGGCGTCCATGGAAATTAAAATTTTCATTTGTCCCAAAAATAAGATCCTAGTTTAACTCCGTAAGAATTTAAATAAAAAAAGTAAAACTATATGGTTAATAAATGATATAGAAATAGAGAGTAGGGGTAAGCACGGGTCGGTACGGTTTGTGTTTTATACCGTCTCGCCTTTTCTCTCTTTATCCCTTAACAATTTGGGTCCCACAAAACCCTTTCCCTTTCTTTTTGCTTCCGTCCCAAAACATTCTTCTTTTCTATTAAAAAAATATTTTTACTCCTATTAATTCTTAACCTACCTATCACATCTCACTTTTTCTCTATAAATCTATCCATCACATCATAGTTTATCCATCACATCAAAGGACATTTTTGGAAAGTCAACACCAAAATACACTTTCCTTAAATTCTTTAAAAATCAAAATGAGAAGTTTTTTGCGGGACGGAGGGAGTATATAAATACGTAGTATAAAATATGTAAGGGGTAGGCAACCCACTTTTACTTGTAAAGTAATGAAAAAAAATATATACTCCGTATTTATTTAGAATGTCTTTGAAAAGCCAAAACGATAAACATGAAATAAAATGCTACTCCGTATGACATATGTCAAAAGTCAAAATTATAAACTTTATAAAAACAATGAACCACAAATTAGGGTGGGACGGGTCAGAAGGATCCAAATATTTAGGTGTTCCGATCCTAATCTTTTTTTGAAATATTTCAATCTGAATATTGATTGTATCTATCTTGGAAAAAACAAAATTTGTGATATTTTTTTGTGTCATACCATTATATAAATAAATAAATAAATCGATATATACATATATACGGGACGGGACGGGACAAAACGTGTTCTGGACAAAATTTTTAATGCAATACTTAATCATAACATTTATTTTAATTTATTCCTGAAAAATACAACAAAGGAAAACAATACAAAGTAAAGTAAACCATTGGGGGGACACCCTAATTAAGAAAACAAGGAATACATTTTGTGAACTTAATTCTCTAAGGAGACGTATCGCATTTCTCACTTTTGCAGCTAGACACACAGCTTTCCTGCTTCCCTTCTTCTGCACTCATTAAAAATTGATTTGTAAGAAAAAATAAATAATAAATTTTGAACTTTTTTTCATTTCAATTTATTCAAAGATTTTATAAAAATAAAAATAAAATTTACATATTCAAAACTAAAATTTGTACAAGAGATAACAAGATGTCAAATAATTAATGAAAAAAACAAAAAAAAAATAAAATTCATCGTGATTTTAGAATAGTGCATAGTGTCATTCTTTGAGGGACAAAGAGAGTATATAAATAATGTTAGTATATACGGACTATATATTTATATATAAGTGAAATGTTATGCAAGTCACGAGGCGTACCGCTATTATTGTTATCCTTATCGTTGTTATTGTTGCTGATATTGTCCCCGCCACCGACGCTGCCGCTAGAAATGCATTGGTTGAGACATTCAAGGCTACAGTGAAAGACTCGGCGAGGCGGAACCGGTGGGGTGCAGTGCACCGGACAGAACTTCAGGCATGCCGTGACGCCGATTCCGGCCATCCGGCATTCTCTCATGCAAATCCCAATGCAAGCAACTTTCATGAGGTTCGCAGACGTCGGTTGCGGCCTTGACAATACGACCAACAAGGCCGCCACCGCCGCCACGAGTAGCCTAACTCCTCTTCTTTCCATATCTCAAATGTGTGTTTTTTTCCTAGTGTGAGTTTTACTAATTAATTGTTGAGACTTGAGTGATGAAAAGTGGTATTGGGAGCAAGGATTTTTATAGTGCAAAATTTGGAGGTCAAATTAAGAGAATATTGTTGGATGGATTTAGGTGGTTAACACTTGAGGCATTTAATCTAAGTTGAGACAGGTAAATTGCAGGTTCATATTTTGACTATGTAGTATGAGAGTAGCTAACAAAATGCTATCTTGCAAACACAAATTTTAAAAAAAAACATTAATCTTTACACATTCTTATACATAACTCTTTTTGTCCATTTTTTTATTTCTCATTTATTATTATATAGTCAACATATATCTTCATTCATCATCTATTTATATAAGTCATTTGTTATAATATATAGTCATATCACCTCTTGTTTTCTACGGAGTACAAAACAAAAACACTTTGACTATCATTTTATCAAATGAATAACAAAAATCGACAAAGAAAGGCTAAAATTCTAACAAGAGAATGATAACTCAGGGAGTAGAAACCTTTTTCATTAATAAAACAGCAACATAAGAATCCCACTGAATTCAAGTTATTAATGGAATTTCAGGAATAATTTTACACATTACATTAAATTTTTCAGTAGGGAGAAAACCCACCAAACACAGTTCACCTCTCTACAAGATCTTTCAAACCAAAATAAACCATAAAAAAAGTGATCAAAAGCTGGTAAAAGTGAGAACCAAAGAAGTCATCAAAATCTGGGGAGTGTTCTGCAATTCGACGAGTTGTGGGAACGAAACTTAAATCTTGATGTGGAAGTAATCGGCGTCGAAATGATGCAATCTCACGTACCCATCTTCACCGCCACTTGCAAAACTAAAGGGGAACACAAAGATGATAAGATGAGAAGCTTTGTAATATAGAAGACATGTTGATGCAAAAGAAAAGCTCAAACACTGGCATGACATGGTGGCTGAAAGGGTTAATGAGGCTGTGGTGGCCAATTATTTTAGCCAATTATGGCTACCAAACAGAGCCTAATTTAAATTTAGAATTTTTTGTATCAAACGTGTCTTTTATCATACTTTACCATGTGAAATGTGAAAAGTAATTCCAGAAACTGGACTTACCCAAACATGCGGGGACTTGTTTTATCGGTTGGCAAACAATTTGGTACATTTAAACTACTAGACGATAAAGTCAAAAGAGTGGATTTCAGCACTCTAAAGCTTAAAGCACTACTCCCTCAGTCCCTCTATATCCCATAACTATCTTCCCTTTTTCTTGTTTGAATTGTCCTCGATTCATCTTCCCCTTTACCTTTAAAGAGTGCAGTTTGAACATGAAAAAAACATATGCATATTTCAATTTAAGTATATCTGATAAAAATACCCAAGGATATTTTCCTCAAGACTTTCCTTGCCTGCTCTCATAGATTATTTGTTAAAATACAAGTCAATCCATTCTTGCTTATTTTGAACTTTTTATAATATTATAAATATATAAAATTTTACTTTTAAGTTTTACACTAACATCTAAAGTCCTAATCCTGTCCGGTACTCTTAACTTCGACATGTGTTTCCATCCCAAACATGTACTACGGTACTTTTTTTTGAAAGGTACTACGATACTTTATCGAGGGAAAGGAAGTCAACTATATGCACTAGCCACAGTAAACATTCCATTATTTGAGGGTTTTGATTGGAACACACCACACTAAAATGTCATAACTTGTTTAAAATCATATGGTAATAGGCCAAAAAAATCTCACCTTTTCCCATCAGGGTTGAATGCCAACGCATTAATTGGTCCAAAGTGCCCTTTGACACCGCCAATCTCTTCCTGAAGAATCTAAGAAGCACAAGAAAGATGTACTTTGATAACATGGATCATGCTGGATTTCAGGGTAACTAAAACCATCAATTTAAGAGGTATAACCAACTTAAACATACTGCCTCCATCCCACAAAACAACTCTCACTTTCACTTTTCATCCGTTCCAAAATAATCCTCAAATTTTCTCTTTTTGAAAATGGATATGAAGCCTAAAATACTTGTTTCTTCTAAACAAAGTCTAACCACTCGTTTTCACTTCTCAACCCCTTTTCAAAACTATTCTTTATCTCCATCAAGTCAAAGTGAGAAAACAAATTTAAGACAGAGGGAGTACTAGTTTACCTTATCATAGAATTTAGCCTCAAACTTCCCAGCCCGATGATCAGTTAATGTCACATTTACTGCATCTTGACCACCTCCAAGCACAATCTGCAAAGCAAACAAAACACATCAAACATAAAGGAATTGTAAGAATGACTTCCACTTGTTAATGTTTCTAGTCATAGTGACACAAAGCCTCTTCAAGAATGAAACAACCTAGCGAACAATGCAAACTAACTTACTGTATAGCATAGTCAGTCCTGTTCTTAATATTCTATAATGGTAGAAAGATATAAAAAACCATTCAAATTTGTTGTCATGTTTAGAGTTGGAATTTTCAATACTTTTTCTGCTTATGAAATATGTATTTTATTTTTAAATTGTTTTAAATGTTAAGTTGTATAAATTTTATTGACACTCCCAATGGCCAATACTAATTAGCTTTCGTTTTCAGCTGTATAGTAAAACCAAATCAAAATATTGAGAGACATATGGGAAAAGAGTGCTTTAAATGATTATCATCAGTTCTTATCAGCAAGCTGCTAGGTTTCAAGATGTGCATACCCACTTTGCAAAATCAAAATGACATATTAAACTTCTCATGCTTCTAACTTTCTACTAAGTTTTGAAAAGTAAAGCAAATGCAGCAATGCACCAAGGGTCTGACGGAAACCTCTACTTTAACAAGGTTATGTACATATTAATGAATTAGATGCCAAGCCCAACAGAGAAGGGAGTATATTGGATTTGTTGTAATTTTGGGATAAATTGGTCCAACTCTCAACATAAAACAAGATGCAATTATAAGGTCATTTTCATACATAGAAAAGCTAGAGAAAATTCAGAAACACCTAAATAGTACAAGTAAGCACTTGAAACTCAAAAAACACGAGACAAAGTGAAAGCAAACTTCTCAAGGCAACAAAGGACAAGGCACGCCAAAAAAAAACTTAGAGAAGATTTTGTGATAGGAAACACACAAATAAAATAATAACAAAGCTTGTGTGTGAGTGTGAATTAGTAGTGAACAAGAATAGATTTTGAACAACAATTAGTGTATTGAGATTTGAGACACTAATGTGTTTTTACATACATGATCCAGGAGTGGTGACATGGCAACAGCATTCACTGGGCGTTCACTCACATATGTTTTGAGAAGTGACAAGGTTCTGATGTCCCAAAGCTGGCATTTCAATATAAGTACAGTGTATATTAGTGAGCGAGGAAAAAAGAGAGTTCATTAAAAAGCTCCTCTTGGAGGGAAGAAGAAACTCATAGGTTACCTTTGCTGATTTGTCTAATGAACCAGTTATGAAGTGTGACCCATCTACAGATTTTACTAGAGAGGTAATCCCCTTTGTGTGACCAGTTTTCTCATCAGACTCTTTAAGTAGTTTTCCTGTCTGCATATTTTAAGAAGTAAAACCTTTTAACTTCACACATACCATACTCCATCACAAAGTAAACTCATAAAACAATATAATGAGCACACCTCAGCATCCCAAATACGAAGAACAGAGTCTTCACCGCCACTAATAATAGTCTTATTCAATGGCCCCCAAACAGCCCTATTGATCCTTCCCACGGGCCCCTTAATGGTGAGCACAGATTCACCAGATTCTGGAACATAAATTCATAATATAGCAGTGGAATTATACTCCCTCCAAATTTTTGTTCTTAGTTTGACTAGGAACAGAGTAATAAAGTGAATACTGACATTGATCTACCAAAGGAGACAGGAACAATATCAACCACATAATCCTATGTATGGTAATAAATACAATAAAATGAAACATAATACATTCAAAAACAGAAACAGCAAATTGGAAAGGAGGGAGTATATAATATGAAAAAAATCACTTCAGAAACTTGTACCCCAAAATAAAATGAAAATAACTATGCAAACTTACGTTCATCAGGATCTGTAGCTATTCTCTTTACGTGTATAGCAGAAGGAAGCTCAATGAAATGGTCAGTGGTAACTACTGCAAGCTTATCACCAACTGAGAACTCAACAGACCTACATGTTGAGTCCAATTGGAATGTGAACAGGACACTGCCGGTCTTAACATTCCATAGCTTTACAGTCTGGTCAGCACTTCCAGTAATAAGTCTACTTGAATCCCCTGGATACAAAAAAAAAAAAAAAAGATGAACCATAATAAATCATCCAACAAATCATTATTTGATCTTACAAAGTCAATACCAGCCAAATCCACACTTTGGGTATTTGTGCTCATGATACTCAAAGGAAAATCAAGTACCTGCACCCAAAGTTATCACGACGCCATGGCGAAGCGCGGCGCCAGGACGCCTAGTCGCCAAGGTGACAATTAGGCGACAAGTAATTAATGAGGAGACAAATTTTAAGGGCCAAACAGTGGAATCTTTTTTTTGGACGAGCGAAAAAATGTGGAACCTTTTTATGGGACGGAAGGAGTACGTAGCAAACATAGATAAATCTAAAACATAAGTTAAAAATCAAATATTCAAAATAGTACTTTCATTAAAAAATTAAAAACATTCAAACTAGTACTCCCAAAAATCAAAATAAAGTTTCACTGATCAAATTTCAAGCATGGAAAAACTCAGCCTCTAAGTTCAAAAAATATTACCACGTAGTATTCCCTCCATTCTTTATTAATTGTCTGTTATGACTTCCATGATAAAAATGTAGACATGTTTTGTGTCTACATTCATAGTTCTGCTATAAAGCCATGCAAACTAAAACGATAAAGAGAACACGCAGAGAGTATGCTAACGAAAGCATCAAACTTGAACTATTGTAAAAATATGAAAAGTGAAAAAAAAGAAAGAGAAGCATTACGGGAGACATCACACGTCCAAACAGCACCATTATGGCCTCGGTAAGTTCCAAGGCGCTCGCCGTTGTCAGCAAACCAAACAGTGGGATTGTGGTCCTTGGCACAAGAGAATAGTAGATCACCCTCCCGGTTGTACTTGAGGAAAGTCAACGGCCTCTCATGCCCTTTCATCAATATCGGCCTCATCTTCCCTATGAGTAACAATGCAGTTTCCTCAGGAAAAAAATCGCACAACTATGTACAAAAAAAGTAGGTTCTAACCATCAACGCTGACAAGTATTATGTCCATCGCCAATGGAGATAAATAAAAAGTCATAATTAACAATGTTTTAGCATTGGGCAAATAATGGACTATATCAAAAGGGCATGTTAAACTTTCTTTTCTTCTTCCTTTCAATGAAGTTTTGGGTAGTAAATGCAGCAATGAAGTCGAGTATACTAGGTTGTTGTTTATAAGTTGATCTTGTTTTAAAGTTCCATCATTTCCAGTGAAATGTATTAGTTGACATTGTGCACAGAATTATTAAGTGCAAATCTCTAGGGGTGGGTTTGGTTTTTGCAGTTCAATTTTCACCCAAAACCAAAGACAAAACAGAAGATAAATTAGTTGTTGGGTTCAGTTTGATTTTGCACCATAAAAAATGTAAACCATTTGTTATTCAGTTTGGTTTAATGTAGTTCTAATTTTGGTTTTTTTATTTTCAAAACACAAATTTTAGAAGTAAAATAAATTTCAAGAAAAAAAGGCAACCTTCAACGTTTGAACAAAGCTAAGAATTAACAACAGGGCAATTTTTTTCAAGCAAAAAATCATCAGCTGAAAACCTAAGAATTAAAAACAAAGCTACTATTCTAAGAACTAAAAACCATTAGAAAATCTGTAACAACAATGGCTCAATGAAGCAATAACAAAGCAACATTTTTTTAACAAATCAAAATAAATTTTTGTAAGAACAAGCTGGCTTGATGTTAGAACTTTTTAAAAGATGCAACAACAAAGCAACTTTTAAGCAGAGCAATTGAATCTTCGAACTGCAGTGAAAAGCAACTTTTAAATATCAAAGCAACTTTTTAACATAGCAACTGCAATAACAAAACAATCTTGATCTTAGAATCCAACATTTGAACAAAACAACTTTTGAAGCTGCTATAACAAATTTAAGTTTTTTCATTATCTTGGAGCAGCTTTAGAGCCTGTTTGGTTGGAGGGGAGGGGAGAGGGAATGGATGGGGGGAGGGAGGGATCCCTTCCCCTTGTTTGGTTACGGAGAGGGAGACGTAGAGGATGAACCCGTGTAGGGTTTCAACCAGAGACAGAGAGAAAAGGGAAGACAAACAGAGAGAGGAGAAAGACGAAAACAGAAGAAATGGATCCGGTGCCAGAAAAACCACAAGCTAAATGAAGACATATAGGATTTGCAGGTTACTTTGTATTATTTTTGCTGGTCAGAAACAAAATAGAAACAAACTTCAATAATAACATGGAAAGATGCATGGGATTTACAGCTAATTGAAGATGCAAACAAATTAAAATGCTCAAATCAATTTGTGTTTGCTTACGGCGCTCGTTTTGCGTGCGATTCCCTCGGATTTCCTCCAATTTGGGAGGAATGGAATCAGATGGAAGGGAAGGAATGAGAGCCAAAAATGTAGGTCTCCTCCCCTCCAACATTTTAAAACCAAATAAGGGAAGGGGCTTATTTTCCCTCCCTTCCCCTTTCCTCCAACCAAACAGGCCCTTAATTTCACTAGTTCTGAGTACTTTCATCTCTAATTTCACAAAAAGATACTACATACAAACTGTCAAACATACTCCACAAGCGTTTTTTTGTTGCAAAACAAAACAAACTAAGGCATTGAAATCTGGCAGAATATGAAATCAAAGATTTAGTAATCAAAACCCTATATTTCCAAACCAACAATCAGAGTTCCATCCTAATTTGACGCAGTTAGGATTGGATCACACAAACAATCCAAATGACGAAACAAAACGAGTAAAACGAGCGCATATAATTTCGTTTATGAATCTCCAAACGACGACCATATAGTCTCGTATATGAGATATCAAAAAAACAAGCATATGACTAATGATTTCAAACCTTCCGAGCTGTGACGATTACCACAAATTGATTTCGTCAATTCAATTACAAGACTGCAACGGAATGTTGATTCTTCCGGCTAAAAATATTAGTTCAAGGAAGTGGCAGAGATGTTGCTGATGGACGGATGGAATGGAGGCCGAGAACTGAAAGAAGACAATATGGCTCAGGGACTTGGTGTTGTTTACGAAGTACTTCATATTTTCAACTCAGTTTAAAACAGTTTGATTCGGTTCACAAATGCCAAAACCGAACTAAAACAGTTCGGTTGGGTTCAATTTTTTTATAGTCAAATTTTGTTTTTTCACTTCGATTTATTTTTTGGCAAAATTATATTTCAACTAAGCTCTCGGTTCTAATTATCGATACCCAATATACAGGTACCACTATAATTTGACTTAAAATGTTTAGTTCTGGTTCACAACAGCCTCTCCAAGCATCTCTGCATAAAATTTAAATTTTTCCGAAGCAATCCTAACTAAAGCTAACAAAAAACACAGATTTCCTAATGTATTAGTTGATTCGGAGTACTAAAAGTCAAAAATCATATAAAGATGAATCATTTCTTATGAATATAACCATATACGTTTAAATACATATCGGTAACGGAAAAAATGGTGTTTGGGCTATGAGTTCTTTCAGATTCGAAAAATTCAATCAAATATATCTAATAACTGATTCGAAGATCGGGTTTCATGTTCGAGAATTTTTGATAAAGATGAATGCTTAAGCAGAGAAGAGTGATGATGGAGGGGTACCTGGGTGGACGGGGAAGAACGGCGAACTATCGAATGGGAGAAGATGAGAAAGACGATAGGGCGTCGTAGTAATTGGAGAAAGAATTATATTTGGGCTTTACAAATGGCCCACTAATTCACCGGCCCAAGACATTTAGAAAGAAGACTATTCTTTGGGAATTGATAAATGCACTCCATTATTGTTAAATGCACTCCACTATTTGTATTTTTGTTCGAGTAGACATATTTGACCCTTGTGTGAATTGATTTTTTTTTGTTCAACGTATGTCTTTTTAATTAATTTTGATTCAACCTATTTAGAATCGCAAATTATATCGTACATCCGGTTGTACCTAAAACATTGATTGCAGTGTTGCAAAAATAGGTAGGGTGCAGACTCCAACAGACAAAGTGGCTGTGGCTAATGGAAATTTACTGGAAGTCAATGCTTGGTGCAAAGGGTTGAGCACTGGGTTTAGAATTGACCACTGATTTCATGGTAATGCCTTTGGGAGAATATGGCATCCAATGGTTGGGGCCAATCACATGGGATTTCCAACCCTATTGCTTGAGGAAATTAGATAGCCAATCTTCATACAATAAGATCCAATTTGTTTGGACTCGTTAGGTTTGGCCCATTACCTTGAGTGAGGCCGAACGTGTACACCTTTTGTTTGTTATGAAGATGTGATCTTATCCACCGTATCCTAAAAGGGCTTTGCTTGGCATTGGGCTTTAGTTAAGCCTACATCTTTATTTTGATTTGGTCTGAAAGAAATAGACGCATTTTCATTCAGGCAACAAGCAAAATAGGTACAACCGGCTAATTGAAGAAGGGAATGAGATGGAACTGAAGCTGCGGGAATTAGTGCCACTCCTCGGCCGGGTCGGGCCACCGGAGAAGAAAGACGGAAGGTGGCGGCGGTGATGACGAAGAGCAGCGAAGACGGAAGATGATGGAGGAGCGAAGATGAAGAAGAGCAATGGTGGCGAAAATCAAGAGAAAACGATGGAGAAGGAAGATTTAAGGAGAAGGTGGCGGCGGTGTTACTTACAGCGGGTAGGGTAGAAAGAAAGCCGCTGGAGGAGGGCTGGGATGAAACCCTATTTGCATAAAAATAGAAAAAGGTTATTTATGGTATGCGTTTTATTTTATTTTAGAATGAGTATTAAGTTATTTGAGAATGAATACTATTTTAATTTAGAATGAACACTACATTATTTGTGGATAAATATTATAACTGTATTGAATAAATGTGTGAAAATGAGTACTACATTATTTTAGAATGAGTACTGCGCTATTTTAGAATGAGTGCCACGTTTTCAAAATAAATAATTATGTTTGTGTGAGAATGAGTACTACTTTGTTTCAGAATGTGTACAACCCGGATATACCTATCTCTATGTACATCCGGTTGTACCATATACCTTCTCATTTAGAATCCTTGAAATTAAAGTTCAAATTTTAAGATATGTTATACGACGGAGTATCTTTTATTTTTTTGTCTTAATATTATTGTCTCACTTCAAACAATAATTAAAATTCTATCTCTTTTAAAATGGTTTTATTTACAAATGAGTAAAAAATAAAAAAATGTATTATATATTTCAAAAATATTTCAAGAGTTTTAACAAAATAAAATATTACAATATTATTTTATTTTATCAAACAATCAATGAAAATAAGTAAATAATAAAAAATATCAAGAGATCAAAACAGCAAATGAGATGATGTCAGATGGAGTATTAAACTTTGTAAATAGGGAGTACTTTATTTGTCATTCCTTTCTTGAAATGTACAGAATTGAAACGTCAAAAAACTATTGTCATCTGAAATATGATTACATTTTTTTAACTGAGGGAGTATAACTGGTAAGTTTTTACTTTTTATATTTTCAAAAGATTTTTTTTGTGACAGAGACAATTGTGTCATTTCCCAATCCAAAAGAAAAAAAATGGTGAATTTCACAAAATTGGATTATTAAATTTATCAATGTACAACAATTATACTCCATTCGTCTAACAATAAGTTTCCTAGTTAATATTATGATCTCTCGATACCTTATTTTTGTTTGTATAATTTCATCAATCATATAATAAGATAAAATACTCTTATCACGTTTTGCTTTGTAGCTAGAACTTTTGATATAATTTTGAATAATATAATTTGTATTTTTTCCTGATATACCAATTGTTTATGAAAGAGTGATATAACAATTTTAATTAAAATTATTTAAAAAAAATACTACCTCCGTCCCGCTATATTCGTCCCCTTTTGACTTTTGGAACTGTTCATCTAAGCACTTTGACTCATCAAATTCTCTTAATGTGTAAGCCTAAATATAGTCATGTGTGAATTAAAGAAGTGTATTGGATGATGTGTAAAAATGAAAGTGGACAAATACTCTGGGACGGGGGAGTATAACATTTTTTAAAAATGGAAAATTTATTTTTGAAATATATAATTCAAATATTTAAAGAGTGAATGATACTTTAATTTGAAAAAACAAATAAATGGGTCGAACTAAAAAAAAGATATAGAGTATAAGATACTAAAATTCAATTGAATAGGGGCAAAGTGGTATACTCCAACAAAAATGTAAAAAGGTGGAGTGCATTTAACAAGAGTGGAGTGTATTTATCAATTGCCCTATTCTTTTGTCATTATAAATTTGAGAGGTAAAAAAAAGAAAATAAGAAGAAAATATTTTTCTTATATGGTCAGAGAGAAAAAAATAATGAAAAGTGGGAAAAAAATAAAAATAAGTAGGCAAAAACTATTAAGAGAGGGAATTCTTTCTCATTTTGGTGAGAAAATGAGAGAAAATTATTTTCTTTTCTTTTCAAATTCTTTGAATCAAACATAGTGCGAACGAAATCTCCCATGAGTAAAAAATACAAAAATACCAAAAGAGAAGTCATAAGTATTTTAAGTCCAAAATAAGAGTATAACAATACTATAGTGTAAGAGTACGTGTTGCAGTGTGATGAAAAAATGATAACAGTGAAATACTCCGTATGTCAATATGATCAGCAGATTGTTAGCAATCCGCAGCGGCACTAGATTGCTGACGGAGACGGTTGGCAGTGTGGCGGTGATAGTGTGGCAGTTACAATATAACAATGGGAAAAGGACCAAACTAGGAGTAAAACATGTGTCATGTCTTCAAAGTAAGAGTTCAAACTTAAACTCCTCTAAATAGGAGTAATTAACACAATTAATCTCATCTTCTCTCATACACACAATCTCTTTCTATCAATCTTTCTCCCCCATCGCATGCTCCACGCATCACCTCACTAGTTCCACGCCTCCACTCTCTTTTCTCTCTTTCCTTCATATATGAATTAAAACATAGCTCTATTGCCTCTCAATTGTGTCATGCGTTGTCGGCGACGCCGGCCCAGCTGCTACCGACGACGCCACCGATGACACCGCCCCAATCTTTGCCGATGCCGGCTCTCCCAGCCGCCACTAACGTTGTCACCAATGACATCGCCCAAGTCGCCATCTATTAAACTTCCATCACCGTCAGTGATACTTCAATCACATTTATTTTTACAACACTGCCATGTTTTGTTGTCGTCATCGACGCTGTCATAGTTTACTGCTTTCCCCATCACATGGCCTTAGCACAAGACGCCACACGAGAAGCCAGCCACCCTCGCCAAGAAGCTAGCGCTCAGCTGCCGCAACTATTGCTCCTGCATTCCAAAATTAATTTCAGTCACTATGTTGTATTCNTCACCCTTTGTATCTTCAATCTTCACAAAATTTCCAAAAGTTAAGCTTCTAAACTTTGAACCATATTCACACAAAATCCCCAAGAACATGAATATTAATCATATTCATAAATCAAAAGAAAATCTCCCACTTTCACCGCGATAGTGCCACGTTAACTATCCATACAGTGTTGTATATATGGACATAATGCCAAACCTGGCAACACTTATTGTCACACACAAAATTGTATAATGGCAATCCTGCTAATGTATTAAGGCACACATGTAAATGCATATGACTAAACAAAGGCTTAATGCCAATCATTATACAAAGCATTTGAAAACTTGTTTTTAGATTAATCAGGTTCATGACAATGTACGAAACAAAAGTAAGACATTACAATGAGATGCAAAAAGAACCTCATGTTTTTATCTCTAAAATTAGATTTATATTAATTTTTGTAAAATAAAATAAAATTTATTTACAAATTTAAATACAACAACTAATTTACAATCCCAAAAAACTCTACCTCGCTGCCACTGTAATCACCATAAAACCACACTAACTATTTGTACAATGTCAAATAAAGGCATAATGTCAAACATGACAACACATAATGTCATACATAAATTTGCATAATGGCAATTATGTCAATGTATAAAGTTACATATGAAAATGCATAATGTCAAACAGACACATAATATCAAACATGACAACACATAATGCAACACATGGTTATGTGTATATTGACAAACATGCTAATGTATAAGAGTAAAATAAAAAGGAGGAGTCATATAAAAGCAGCAATCTATGAACTAAAAATACATAAACCTAATGAAAGCATTTCAATATGCCAGATATAAACTAAAGTATATATTAAGGAACTCATATTTTACATGAGCAATGAGCACATAACATAAGAAGGAAACTACAAGCACCCAGTGAAAATCATAAAAACCTACAAGTATCATCTAAAACCAAAGCCGTTAATGGAATCAGAGAGCAATGGCTGCAAAATCAATCAAGGCAACCATATTATTCTAGCCATAAAAGTCAGTCCATCACAGCCTTTCACTATGTCTGGTTCATTGCTGCAAAATCACTCGTTCATTGCTCTCACATTCAATCTCATACTAAGTGCGGAAATCGTACGTAGTTTCATCCACTCATAGCTTTACACCTCTCCAATCATACACATTATTATTCCTGACATTCAACCCCCCAACCCCACAAACCCTAATTCCCCAATTTTGAATTTCTACTTTACCCTCCTTGAACCTAAATCATGGAGGTTCCTCGGATGCTCTACGCAATCATACCTGGTTTTCAGATCTAGATCCTCTTCTTCTTCTTCCACTCTACTTACGCCGTCAACTAACATTGCCTTCGCCTTGATTGAGACCATGCGTTTAGGGGCCGCAAAATGTTCGTAGAAGCGGAGGCAAAGAAGGGCATGATGCGGGCAGTAGCCGCTTTGTCGAAGAGGATATTGCATTGAAATCTGAAAATGACGGAAGGAATATTGCACTGAGAAGAGGCCATTGAAAATGATGGAATTATTGAAATAAGTATGAATACTTCTACTAATTCATACAGTATATGAATACGTATGAATAATTTTTTCAATCGAAAAAATAATTAATTACTCCTACTTCTATGCACAGTGACAAAAAATAATTAATTATGTATGAATTAACCAATTTTTTTTGAAAATACAATACACTGTATGAATACTTCTATTAATAAAGTTAATTACTCCTATTTAGAGGAATTTAAGTTTTAATTCCTACTTTGAAGATATAACACATCTTTTACTCCTATTTAGAGGGTTTTCTTCAATAAAAAAGCTAATCTGAAATTTTAGTTGTGATGTGTAAATTTAAATTATACCACGTAGTACAATATCTTCCATCTTTTAATTTAACTCTTACACCTAATTCTATGTCTCTTTATGGTGATATTCTTGAATCATAGTACAATATCTCGTGTGAGAAAAGATCTAGAAAAACACCATTGATTGCCTTTAACCACAAAGAGGAGGACAATTTTATTAGATAAACTTTTTTTGTTACATGCTTAACATTTCCACACAATACACATATGGTATATGTGTTTTACGTTTTATTCAAAAGAAAACTAATTATGCATTAATTCTTTGACCACAAGAATTATTTTGTAACTTTTTAAAGTACAAGACTATTTACCTACTTATGAAAGATGAGATTTTGTACGCTGTCAAAATTGAAAGTTAATTTGTAAACGGGGAGAATAATATTTAATTCAACACTTTTCATTCTTTTCAAACATTTTTCAACTTTTTACCGTTTGTACATATTCTTCCCCATTTTTTCAATGTTTTCAAATTTTTTTCCACTTTTTTTTTCAACCCTCTCTAGTTTCTTAACTCTTTTTAGTTTTTTTAATGAAAAATATTTAAATAAAAAAACAATTCATAGAACAATGAGATTGGGAAAATTAAAAAGTAAATATTTGTTTAAAGTAAATAATGATTTAATAAAATAATAATTAATAAAAAGTAGTTAAACTAAATAATACTCGTGATTCTCTAGGAAACGTAAAATAAAGAGAATATAATTAGATAAATTAACAATTACACCCTCCCGTCCACAAATAAACTTTTTGTTGCGCGTTACAATGTTTGACTTTAGTTATTTTCAAATCATTTTATATGAAAAAAGGTATAAAATTTAAAAATAAAAATTACACATTAAAAAACTATATCAAAAGACCTACAATATTAGATGTAACATGACTATATTATTTAATCAAATAGTTGACGAGAGAAATTTGACCTTACGAGTAGTGAATAAGAAGTTTATTTGTAGACGAAGAGAGTATAATAGAACTGTGATCAATTTGATGAAAGTGAGTAAGTTTACGTAAACTTGCAATGAAATTAAGGTTATCTTACAATTTTAACAATTAAAGAAAATTTGTTATTTAAGCTTGAACACTATTAGCATTAGATGTCATTATAAGTACATATATCACTCGATAAATAGAGTGAGATGACTGTCCTCTCAATTAAAAAGGCATCAAAGCAATCCCAAGAAAACATCATTTCCATAAAAGTGAAATGTGATATACACTATACAAAGAAGTACAAAACATTTGAAATCAAAATATAACCAAATGAAAATAAAACCAAGTTTAATTTAATTTGGTTCATTCATCCAAAGCCAATCCTTTCATTCGATCAACTCCTGTATTTCCGAGCAAGGTAAGCCAGAGGCCCAACAATGGCGGCGTTAGTATACGTTGTGGGCTCCAGTTTGTTGTAGTCCGTCCGATCATCTCTGAACCCGTCTCCGTGATCCGGACCCCCGACTATTGCTCCGACTAAGACATTCGGGTTCGGGTTTTTGCTGTTGTAGTAGTGTTCATAGCCCTCGTCGCAGGGAATCCGACCCGGTTCGTTCGCAATCGAAGGCAAGGAGGAGCCCCTGTGGTGGATCATTTTCGGGTACTCCGACCCGAACCCGACCATGTATGACATGCCCAATGGATTATCTCCCAAAATGTAGTCCACCTAGACATTTTCCAATATTTAATATTTTAATTTAAAACACAGCACTTATAACTAATTTTTTATAATTTCTTTCCTTCTCAGTAACCGTCTGGCCGGATTTGGGAGAATTCTCAAGAATAAAACTCATCTTTTTTCTAATTTACCCCCTCGCTAATTGTTCGCCTGGGTCAGAGAACCTCGAAGACAGGGTTCATCATTTTTTAATTGTATATCCATTGAATGAGTGGAGTTCCATTGACACTCGCCAACAATGAAACTAGCGGTGTTATTACGCTTTTGAAGCACCTTCAGTGCTCCTATTAGAAAACTGATGGTTCTTACCCCACCTAGCCCATCCCTAAACCCTCCACCCTAGCCTCACCTCTGATCTACTCCTCCCACCCCAACCCCGCCCTAAGCACCCCTCCAAATGCATAACAACGAATGTCTGTGTGTAGTGCATACAAACATTTGTAGTTTATTATGGGCATGTTTGGGAGTATTGTTAGCGTTTCGAAAATACTATTTACGGATAGCGTTTAGCGCTAGCGTTTTCAAAATAATATGCACCATTAAAATTTTATCTAAAACGCTAACGCGCGCTATTCCCGAACATCGTTTAGGATTAAAGTAGAATCACGTCTTTGATGTCTCCTGAGTATTTTTTTTTTTTTTTTGTAAAAATAATAACAATACCTGTGATTTAGCGTGAGTGCGGAGGATGGGAGGAGTAACCAAGTGAGAAGGGCCACATTGGAATTTGCGTTTGGCAGATGCCATGTACTTTGCATAGGTGGTAATCAAGAATGTGATTGATGTTACATATTGGAGATTATATCCATCCATCTTGTAAATTAGACCACCTGTCCAGTAAAATTAAAAGATCCAAAAAATTTAGTATTCTTTCTCTTTTTTAAAATCCTTTATCTTTTATTTTTTCTAAAATATTTCCACTTTCTATTAAAAAACATGTTAACCCTTACTTTTTCTTATCATACATTCATGCATATTACTCCATACTTTTTCATTAATATTATATCTATCACATCTTACGTTTACTCATCGCATCAAGGACAAAATTGGAAAGCCAACTACAAATATACAATCTTTATTTTTCCTAAAAGTCAAAATAGGAAACGTTTTATGAGACGGAAAGAGTATTTTTTCATCCGTTTTACAAAAAGAGTCCATCTTGATTAATATAGGATAAAATTATTATTTCCTTTCTATATTTTTATTGATAAAATTAAATAATTAAGTAAATATTTATTTTGTGAATCTTTTGAAATTATTGTTGTTGTTTCTATACAGAGTTTCTTATTTTCTCTGTAGTTTCTTCAGTTTGTTAGGGCCCGTACTGTTCTCTTTGCATGAAATTGTTAGTTTGATTTAATTTTAGTAAAAATTAAAGCAGTAATGGATCTTATCTGGTCTGAATTTTTATGATTTAATTTGATCTGATTTTATTTAAATAAAAATAAGTAATTAGAAAAATGAAAGATGAAAAGTTTACTGAAATTAAGGGAGTAGTTCTCTCTAATTTAATTTAATAAAATTTCAATTTTAGTTTCGCGTATCAAACGGAGTCTAGAACTTGTGTAATTAAGGCATGTTAATGAATTAAGGAGTAATTATATTTTATTACCTGGGGTGTATGCGGTTGAAGACATGGAAGAAAGGCGGGAAGGGAGGACGTTGCATATGAATTTCTCCGCGCGCTCTCTGTATTCTCCATACTCTTCCCGTTTTCCAAGCAAAGCCCACTTCAAAATTATAATTTGATTTGATGATATAAAATAGTGAATATAATGAAGTGTTCCAAAAAAACAAATGAGTGAATAAAAAAGTTTTCCCATCATTATTAACCAAAATAACAAGTACTTGGTAATTCAAAATGCATATTATTGCCCAAAAAAGAGAGCACAAATTACTATATATGCTCCCTTAAGTCTTTATTCATTTTATTTATCAAAATGTAGTCAAAATAAATATGAATCAGTTCTAAAAATGTAATTATTCAAGTTCTCACCTGGTTCGTTTGAACTGCAATATAAACCTAATACGAGGTTGAAGAATTTTTATACTGATATGAGATTTGCTTTTTATTTAATTAATCCGAACAGAATATGTTCCAATTCGATTAAAAACATCAAATTGAATGAATATACACTAGCACGAAAAGAAAATATCACTCCGAATATAGATTTTGAAAAATAATTTGCCATGTACCAAACACTCCCTTAGTATTTGTAGCTTACCCTTGAGAGAAGAACATAGGCCCCGGAATACTTGTTGTCCCAGCTAAATAAGTTTGGCAAATCTTCATCTCCAAGTTTCTGTATATATTTGTAATATTTATTTGCATCCTTACTATTACGACTACTTGCTCTGAGTAGCCATGCTGCTCCCCATAATAACTCATCCTGCAAACACATTAGTCTATAAATTAATGATGTTGCTATATCATTAAGACCATATCAAATAAAAATACATCTTTAAATACTCCGTATTATATTACATTCAGTTCATATCAAATCAAAAAAATCAAAATTTATTTCAATCAAGTCAGAATCATCCAGATCAGGTGAAGAGAACAAATCCTATTCTACACTATTTATATCAAATAGACAAAATTGCCCTTAGGCTGATATCTAATATCCCTTTTATGTGTTTTAATGACAAAATTGTCCATTTAATAACCATAATTGGGGTGGCAACACCCTTAGAGTAAACATCATTTTTTTGATGATGTTAGTGTTATGGGAGGATTTTGATAATTGGGGTTTTTGTGGAGGCTAGACGTAAAATCGTACTCCGAAATAGACACTGATAATTCGATATGTGTTAGGAGGTACAGACTCAAAACACATTTTTGAAGTGTTACTTTCGTTTGGTTGCAACAGAAAACTAAGAAGGGAGAGAAAAAGTTGAGGCTGAAAGCTAAAAAATTTCTCAGCTCCATGTCAAAGAACCAACTCAATCAAAAGCTCAAGCTTGTGGTTGTGACTCAAGAACAATTATATACTCGTATATTCTAACACGTCCCCTCACGTGTAGGCGTAGTCTTTTTCGAGCCTTGCACGTGAAATCTTAATTTTTTTAAAACTGGGTAGCACTGAGTTTTGAACCCGTGACTCTTAGTATACGAGGCTCCGATACCATGTCAAGGAACCAACTCAACCAAAAGCTCAAGCTTGTGGTTGTGGTCCAACAACAATTATTTATATTCTAACACTCCATAGGTGAGAATATTCTGGCTGGTGAGAAAACTTTCCAAATGACAAATTTACCCTTTAACCCTACTATTATCAGTTATTCCTTCAAATATATGTGGACAAAATTCTATTTTTTTAATTATATTTTATTTCCTTTCACTTTTCTCATCGTTTTCTACATTCAAACAATCCAAAATTACTTAGCTTGTAGGTACCCTCAATTTTCTGGAAAAAACTTCCAGATTCCATTTTATCTGAAATATACTTCGGGTACCCTCTATTCTTTAGTAAGAGCTACCAGGCCTTACATTATCCGAAATATACTTTAGAGTCCTTAAAATCTGTGATATTATACTCCAATGATACATTTTTTCAATTTAGACGTTAGCTTACAAGTTCGTTTACTTTGATAATTTGAAAATTTTTATTTAAATTTAATAAAATAATGACTATAAATGTAAAACTTAGTACTCCTTCCGTCCCTTTAACTCCTTTCCTTAATGACTTTTAGAGAATTTAAGGGAGTGATATTTTTATGTTGACTTTTCAAAAATATATTTGATATGATAGATAAAAGTAAGATGTGATAGAACTGTTATTAGTAAAAAGATATGATGTGATATGTAGATTATAATTAATAGGGGTAAAGTGATTTTTAATAGAAAGAAAAAGTTTGCGGGACAAGAAAAAAAGGAGAAAGAGTTTAAAGGACGGAGGGAGTATTTGTTAAAGTAACAAAACTTTAAATCATAACGGCCAAATAAACAAAATGCACACTCAGAGTACATTACAACAAGTTTTAAGGACCCCTAAATTAAAGTATATTTTAGATAATGTTAGATCTGATAATTCTTGAGAAATTTACCGAAATAGGACTAAAACATAATGACTTTCCCATATAGGACCATATATTTTTATTTCCCAATGTAGGATTTTTGGTCATTATCAAGTAGTCATTATTCAACTAAATGTCCATCATATCATTGCTGGACATTATTCCTTCCACTAGGTCATTATTAAGTCCTATTTAGGGAATAAAAAAGTTTAAGTCCTATATTAGAAAAGTCATTATGTTTTAGTCCTATTTAGTGCAAATTTTACTAAATAATTCTTACCCCATAAGATCAAAAGTACCCTGAGTATATTTAAAATAATATGGGATCCTAAAGTTGTTACCAAAAAATTGATGGTACCTCAGAGTAATTTTTTATTCAAACAACAATTAATTTCTTTCTATTTTCTCTTCATTTTCTCATCCCAAATTTTTCTTTATCACCATTTTTTTCCTACCATTTTCTTTTTTCATTCAAACACAAGATTAAAGTGAATATTGTTTATCTTTACTCTGATAAAGTTCATATTATTTTCCTCTAGTCGGCATTAATTTATTTTTTAATACTATATAGTAAAAAACCAAATAAATAATTGTATGAATTTAATTTTAGTTTCATTAATTAAATTACCTTATATCCGGAAAAAGAGTTATAGAAAGGCTTGACCGCTTGGCCAAGTGAATCCGCGTAGGAGCCCTTATTCTTAGCCGCGAAGCGAAACACTCTCTTCGCATTCCACAAAAGCCGGTAAGAATAGGGCGGATCGGCCCGCCGGAAAACCAGAGAGGCGGCGGCCAACGCGGCGGCCATTTCCCCCGCCACGTCAGAGCCAGGACTCGACGGCGAAACGGAGTACACGGTCCGCACGGTGTCCATGTCCTCCGGCCGTTCCCAGCACCGGTGGTCAACGCTCGCGTCTCCGACCCCGACGTAGAGCCGCCACGGCAGGTCGCCGGCGCACTTCAGGAAGTAGTCCGTCGCCCACCGAATGGCCGCCCGGGCTCCGTCCAGTTGCGACTCCGACTGCAGTTTCCGGCCGTATTCCAGCACCCCCCACGACAGCATTGTGGTGGTGTACGCCATCGGGAAATTGAACTTCACATTGTCGCCGGCGTCGTAGTAGCCTCCCACTAAGTCAACCTGTCACACAAGAATGTCATTACTTATATAACCTTCCATTACACTTTTATTTAAAGAAATGTCTCAAAGTATTTCCCAAATGTGTGAATCATTTTAATTTTTAACTGCTTACAAAATCTCTATATATATCATTAAAGTGTTTCATAGCTTATTAAATTATTTTTAAGTGAAATTTGTAGTAAATAGGACTAAAACATAATAACTTTCCTAATTTATGACTTAAACTTTTTTATTTCTTAAATAGGACTTAATAATGTCTTAGTAGAAGGAATAATGTCCAGTAATGCTGGACATTTACTTGAATAATGACTTATTAATAATGATCAAAGGTCCTACATTGATAAATAAAAACATATGGTCCTATATTGGGAAAGTCATTATGTTTTAGTACTATTAAGATAAATTACTCTATTTTTAATTCCTACCAAGTCAATGTACCTTCTTACCGGTGCGTTAATAGTCCATTCGGTGACATTTTTCAGATCAAGTGTGCAGAAATTGTTTCAGCAACACACAGAAGTTGTTAGAAAATTTATGGTATAACATTAGTTTTTACAACATTTCAGGCATAAGTAGCCCGGAGGGTGTGCAAAGTGGCCAAGCGCACAGGCCCCTAAAATTTTAGGGCCTCATATTTTTAAATTCAGCATTAGTTTTTAAAGAATAAGTATTCTAAACAAATAAAATGGACCCCAAAATGTAAATTTTAGACCGAGCCAATTTTATTTTTACATTTTTCAGGGCCAGTCCTGATTTCATGAGACTTGATCAAGAAAAAAACACCAAAAAGACCACTTATAACAATTTGAGACTTGATTTGAAAGTGTTTTCGAAAAAGTAAAAAGACATTGTAAGCATTTTAACAAAAGAAAATGAACACCATTGTCCATTGATGGAGCTTACATGTTGGAGATCGCCGTCGGAGAGGCCGGAGTTCTTGCGCCAAGTCATTCTTTGATTGGGAGGGAGGTTCCCGGACCTCTGCCCCTCGAAGAAGAGGATTGATTTGTAAAGGGCGTCTGAGTAGTCCGGGTTTTCGCGGCCTTCGGTGGTGTCCAACCGGAGCAAAACCGACGATGACAAGAGGAGGAGGAGGTGGAGGTGGTGGAGGAAAGGCTGCCGCCGCCGTCCCATTGTCTTGCAAGTTCGCCGTCAATGGGTGGAGGAAAACAATGGTGATATATATACTACTCCCTAGCTATATCCTCACAATTGTTAAGAAGAAAATTGAAAAAATAGGGAGTACATTGACTTCTTTGAATTGCCCTAGGTGATTAAAATTAGATTAGAGAGACTTTGTTAAATATTATTGAAAATAATACGAGACGATAACAACAACTCAGTTGGATGTCACGAAAGTAGAGCATGAGGTGAATGTTTGTACACAGACTTTGCCCCTACTCGAAAGTAAAGAAAAAATAATACGAGAAAAGAATTTAAAATTACTGAATTAATTTAAAATATGTAAAAAATTAAACTTATTTAAAAAACTAAAAATAATACTCCGTTCGAGAAAAGAATCTAAAATAACTGAAATAATCAAGAGTGTGTAAAGAGTGATTGGAAAAACAAAAAAATCTGAATGAAGAAATGGGAACAATATAGTGAAATCTGCACTAAATAGTACTAAAACAAATGTCATTTTCTAATGTAGTACTTAAACTTTTTTATTCTCTAACTATTGCGTGAATAATGTCTAGTTGTAGAAACAATATCTAGAGATGATGAATATTTAGTTTGAACAATGACCAATATAATGGACAATGACCAGCGTACTATATATATTGGAAAATAAGAATATAATGTACTACAATAGGAAAATCATTATTTTTAGTAGTATTTATGTAAATTTCTCAATAATATACTACAATGTTTTTTGGTGAAACAATAATACTAAATAAAGAAATGAGATTTTTTTTTATTTTAGGACTTTAAAAGTGAGGTTTTCGTTTTAGGAAGGAGGGTTCAAACATAACGCGCGTAAATTAAGGCTTTTGTTTTGTACCCATTTTCCTAAGACCAACAGTTGTCCCTCTCAAGAGACTGGCTGGCTGGCTTCTACACTGCGCATCTAATGCCGTAATGGGGCGTAGAAAATGTGAGTCTTGCTTTATTTCACCTTTTAGACTTTGTATCTGGGGTATTTTTGTAACTTTTCTACTCCGTATTTAATTATGAGTTAAAAAGAAATATCAAATTAAACCAGTAGTTGATAATTCTCTTTGGATTTCTATGTTTTTTTTCCTTAACTAGATATGTACTCTGTCCTAGTAATTTATCTTGAAATTAATGCACCATGTGACATGTTTTATCATCTCAAACAATAGAAACAAAAAAGGTTTCATATACTCCCTCCGTCCCAAAAAGATTTACCCGTTTCATTTTTTGTGCATCTCATAAAACATTTCTACCCACATCTAAAATACCCAAAATTTACCATATTTACCTTTTATTATGAGTAGAAGTTGTTTTTAAAAAAATTTTTTGACATTTGAGACGAGATAAAAGTATTTTATGACTTACGCAAAAAATGAAATGAGTAAATCTTTTTGGGATGGAGGGAATATATTAAATACTCCGGTATAATTTCAACATGGCTGACAACAAATCCTATTATAGAGCTTTATGGTGCCTGACATTAACGGTGAGCAAAATAACCGACCGATCGCAAAACTGAAAACCCAAAACTGAAATAATTGATTTTTTGGTTTCGATTTTGGTTACTCATTCTCAAATTATCGATTTTTTCGGTTATTTCGGTCAGAGAAGTGTGTGTGTGTGTTTGTATAATAATAAATTTAATAGTTATTACTTATTATTATTATTATGAGAAAAGTGCAGTGTTTACCCCCGAACTTTTTTAGAAATTGCATACTTTACCACTGAACATTTATTAAAAAGTACATCATTTACTCTCAAAGTTTTTAAAAATTGCATGATTAATCCCTGAACATTAAAAAGTATATCAAATACTCCCGAATACTTAAAATGTTGCAAGATTGTTGCAACATTAATCCCTGAACATTAAAAAAGGGTTTCTCCCACATACGGGAATTGCGAATATGATTCATCTAGCCCTTGCGAATTCTTCAAAGTATCCTTCTCCAAAATTATTGTCTTTATTTAAATGTTTTAGGGTAAACTGTGTAATTTCTGAAGAGTTAAAGGGTATATGGTGCACCTTTTATTATTCAAGGGTGTACTTTACAAATTCTGAATAATTTAAGGGTATTTGGTGCATTTTTTAATGTTCATGGGTAAACTGTGCAATTTCCAAAGAATTTAGAGGTAAACGGTGCACTTTTCTCTTATTATTATTACCACTATTACTATTATTATTGTTATCATTTTTCTTCTTCCTTTTCTTCTTGTTCTTATTATAACTACCATTATTAATTATTTCTTTTATTATTATTAAAATTATATCAATAGTCATATATTATTATATTTATTGTTTCTCTATATTATTATTATGATTATCATTATTATGACCATCAAGGCTTAGAAGTATGTGTGTTTATATAGTAATAAATTTAATAGTTTTTCGTTATTATTATTACCATTATTATCGTTATTATTCTTCTTCTTTTAGTTATTATTATTACCATTATTATTATTATTACTATTACTATTATTATTATTAAAAATAATAGCCATATTATTATTTTTATTTCTCCGTATTATTATTATTGTTATTATTATTATTTGAGTAAATTCCCAAAATGGTCTTTTATAATAAAGTGTTTTCCCAATTCAGTCCTCAATAAATTTTAATTACCTAAATGACCCTTTATAATTGAGATCTATTCTCAATATGGTCCTTTGTAAATAATGTTACTCAAATGATGATTAATTGAGAGATATTTTGGTATTTTGATCATCCAAATTTAAAGTATATTTTCGAAATTGTCAATTCTGTACAACTAAATTTAAAATTTAAAAAATACATTGACTATAAATAATTTATGAATTATTTAAAACTTAAAAAAAACTTTTAAATTTTAAATCAAATACACATATTTAATTAAAAAAACCATTTTAGGAAAGCACTTCATTATAAATAATAATTTTAAGAATTAATTCTAAATTTAGCGAATAAAAAAATACCTAAATACCCTCAATTAATCCTCATTTGAATAACATTATTTACGAAGGACTATTTTGGGAATAAATCTCAACTATATAGGACCATGTAGGTAATTAAAACTGATTGAGGACTGATTTGGGAAAATCTTTATCTTTATCTTTATATATAAATAAGGAGAGTTGGAGTACTAGAATTACGACATGTGGCATGCTGACTGGACATTTTTTAACACCTCAATATACATGTCATCAAGAGCATTGAATCGAAGTTTCCTTCGACTAATTTATGATATAATAAAATAAATTATGTAACATAATAAAATTAGTGAAACATAAATATAGTATTGCATAAAATAAAATTATTAATGGAAAAAAGAAAAATTTCTTTTTTAACTAACAAAATTTTCAGTAAAATATTTACCACAATATTTTGCCCGGACTCCAACTAAGCTTAAAAATCAGTCAATTGAATAAAAATGAAATTAATTCATTTTTATAGAAAAATAAATTTAAAAAAACTAAAACAAATTAAAAAAATGAGAACTTTTAACATTTAGTAATAAAATTTTGATCTAACTATTATTATAATAATTTTATTTAATAAAAAAAAATAATATTCCTTCAAAAATTATATTGACTACTGAACTTAAAACAAATAAAAGTTTCTCTTCATTTACAACGTAACTTATAATGATAGATAAGATACTCACTTCACCTCTATATCAATTTCACATAGATCTAATATAATATTTAAAAACTAAATCAAAATATTTATTATCGAGTTTGACAATATTTTTTAGAAAGATGAAAAAGTTGAACACAAATAGATGATTAGTTAATTTTGCAATATATTTTTTCACTATAAATTTTAACTTAGTGCAGATTTAAAAAAGTAAATTTTTTTGAGAAAAAAAGTACAATTTTAATGATGATAAGTTTATGTTTAATATTATTCTCATACAAACAGAATATGTTTAAATTAGCCAAATATATAAATATAATGAACAAAAAAATTAGGAAAAATATGCAATTTTTTTTCTTTTGCTTTATGTATAAAAATGAGACTCGGGTAATTAAGAAACTGACATGTGGCTTACTCATTAGCCTCTTTTCAACACCTAATATGTCACATAAATTTTAATGTGGAAAATATGAAATTAAAAGTTTGGTAAATATTTCTGAATCTTTAAATATTAAATTTCACAGTTAATATCTTAGAATTGCAACAAGTGGCGAATCTACTTGACAACATTTTAACAAATCACCGGCCACCTATTAACGATTGAATGACGTGGCAATTTTAATCAAAATATGGGTAGATCCAATTTAAAGTTGTATACGGAGTATATGTCTTATGTACAGTGTCGCTATAATTTTTTGGAAAAAATTACTCTGTATCAGAATAGGAAAAAACATGGAGAAAATACCAAAATAAAAATGTATTTTTTTATCTCCAAAATAGGAGCCACCAAACATTAAGAGATTCCTTAGTTTCAAAAAGAAGTTATTGTTAATGTATTTCTACCAAAAGACAATGTTTGTTCTATATATTGAGGTTAAAGTATACAAAATTGACAAGAAAAGTCTATTGAGAAGATCAAATCCAAACACAGAGGGAGTATTGTTGAAGAAATTAGAACATACATGAAATTTTATGCAGTTGAGTGAGAACTAAAATTCCTTTATTTTTATTAAAATTTTTAAAAAATCAACTTCTAAAATAATTAAAATAATAGTATAAATTTTTAAATTGAACTTCTAAAATAATAGTTACATTTTTCACATAAAATTTTAAAAAATTATCACGTAAAAATAATCACGTATATTTTACATACCAATTTTTTTTTTCACTTGATATGAATTTATTTTTAAAAAGCAAAACAAATATTGTTACAAGGGTTTTCACAAAGAAAAATTACAAAAAAAATTTAAAATAATCATAGGTATTTCACTTTTGACTTCATTGAAGTCACAACTACTACTTTTTTAAAAACACAAAAAAATATTGGCATGGAATATATACAACAAAAAAATATTTACAAAAAAATGAATCACGTATGTTCATACGCGAATTTTATCAAAATTTTACATAGATATAAAGTGGGGTATCAGAGGCAAGTTAATCCTTATTCGAAATTTACTAGCGTGAAAATGAGTGGCTAATAGGACACAAATTAAAACATTAAGATGCCCCAAAATG